GAGAAGGCGGAAACAACAACAACTATCGCAGTAACACCATAATCATCGTCATCCTTCATACTCGTTTTACAGTTGAATACACCAATAACGAAAAACACGGAAAGGGAGAAAAAAAAACAACATTCATCTTTGTCTCACTTCTTCCCTCCAATTCCTCCCTTCTCCCCCAGCCTCCACAGGTGAAGTAGGAGGGATAAAAACATATATAGACGCTCGTGACCCCCTTATTGCTGTCATTTCTCCACAGCACCAATAGCCTTTTGACGTCTGCTATTAAACTCACTCATTTCTCACTTTGTCATTTAAATTCATGCGTTGTGGATGGTTTTTTTTTCTTTTGTTTTTGTTGTCTATTGCGTCCAAGCTGTCAATAATAATAATCATAATAATATTGTTCGTTTTTTCCATCATATTACTCTTTTGGGAAACCAAGGACAAAATACTACCAGCATGGAAGAAGAATAATAACACACACAAAAAAAAAAAAAACAACCCGTGCCCTTTCCCATTTCCCCCTTTTTACTTTTGTTATGATCTACGTGCGTATGTATCCACACGTATGCATGCACTACTCCCAAGGATGTGATTTAAAAAAATAATAATAATAATAACAATAATAACGCAGCGTCATCATCATCACTCAACACACACAAATAACAACAATAATAATAACGCACGCATAAAGACAATAACAGCAATAGTACTAGAGACCCATACACATAGATACACAAAGATAAAAAAGTGAGAGGCAATCCCCTGGTTCATTCCCCTTTCGCATGCCCGCCAATTTTCAGGTAAACAAACAATAACAAAAATGCAACACAGTAAGAGCTGATCCCAGGTTGACGCATGCGCCCTCCCCTCCGCAGGAAGTCCCCGTTAAAATCCGTGTGGAACACCGTTCCTTGTATGTATCTATCTATTCTTCCCCCCCCACACACACACACTAATGGTCGTTTTGGTATCGCACAGTGTGGTGGTTGATATTTTTTTTAAAAAATTCATTTCTTGCACATTCAACTCTCTCCTTATCATTGGCTTATTTTTCCTTTATTATCTTTTGTTCTTCTCTCTCTCTCTCTCTTCCCTTTTTCAGATTTTTTCATCCTTACTTCCTTCTCATCGCTGCTGTTTTGTTCCTTCCTTTTAAATATTTTTTTAAAAAAAACTTCTTTTTGCCCTACGCGTGGCAGGCCACAACTCTCAAACACCAGATATAGCCCATCATACCGTTATATCTACACATGCACCTCCCTTACAAGCCTTGAAAAAAGGGGGTCTGTTGTTGGTTGTGAAAACTGGCATTCATCCACTCCATGTCAAACTCCAGCTTCTTCATTGGCTTGGGAACCTCCTTTGCATCCGTGGAGGCATTCTCAGAAGCATTCACAGAGAGAACAATATTGACTAGCTGCTTAATATGCTCCAGAGCATCCTCATCGTCCTCCTCAAACTGAGGCGTGTCCTCGTCACCTTCCGTTAACAAGCGATTCTGGTGCTGAGTACCATGTCTAGCAGCTCCATTTATACCATTAGATAAAAGAGGAATCGTGCTCTTCTCCTGCTGCGTCTGCTTGGGTGTGGGTGACCTTCTGGAAGAACACAGCTTCATCCCTTGAAAGGGCGAACGCAAGACATAATTCTCCTCATCTGAGACAACTTCAGCCTCCTCAGTTTGCTTTTGAAATAACGGCAAGCCCTCCCCAGGCCCTGATGTGTTCTCTGCATTGGGCAACAAGAGCGGACTCACAGAAATTGGGACAGGTGGGACGGGATGATGATGACGCTTCTTCTGCCGATCTTCTTGTCCCTGCTGCTGCGCAGAAAAAAGTACATCCACGGGGATTGGTTCCCTCTTTTCGTTACTGTTCCTGTTGTATGTAAAGGCGGTGTAGGTGGGCGCTTCGGATGGCGAAGAAGCGCCCAATAGATCGCGGAAGAGTGGTTCTGGGCCACTGTTTGTTGACTTCTTATCAAGGTCCGCATCGGTCACGCCAATAGCCAGTGGAGGCACTGGACGTTTTAAACTATGTCTTGTCGCGACGACGCCAGTTTTAGCTGCAAGCACGGTATCACTAAGCGCAGTCCACGTGTCGCTGCCGATAGGCATTGGAATGACAGGCCGCGTTTTTTTTGCATCCACATGCTTAGAATCCCCCGCTAAAGCTGCACCAGACACTTTCTCCATCTCAGCTGCAGGAGACACAGGTGTGGGGAGGGTTGCAGCAGTGGCGGCGGCGGTGGTGGTAGAGGCAGCAGCAGCAGGGGTAAGGGTTGAAGCGGTACCTGCCGTGACACAGAGTGGCATGAAGCGGTAAAAGTTATGCATCGCCCACAGAGTCTGAAGGAAGGGGAGGCGTGCTAGCGTGCCCGTGCTAGACGCCAGAGGTTCCATAGCCTCACCGGGCGTCACTGTGGAACGTGCCCCAGCTGCCGAGGATGTGGCGAGAGATGGCATCCAATCGCTGTTGCATGAAGCAAAATTCATCCGGGAAAGTCCTGCTACCCTTGCCCCATCTTTAGCAGAAGCCGCATTTGTACCGCTACAACTGCAGCTGCAACTGCAGCCAGAATTCGCCCCAGAGCCAACGATTGCACTGGAGCGAACAAGCGAGTAACCACCGTAGTAGCCGTGAGTAACCATGGGGGGTATTCCGTATGATCCTTTTCGTATTGTAGTTGCTTTTATTATGTCCTCCCTTTTTCGCTCCTTTTCACTTTTTATTTTCCTTTCTAGCAAACCTCCCTCTAGTGTTGGACGTTGCTACCACAATAGAGAGCCATCAGACGTACAGATGACACGTACACACGCACATAGAGAAAGTGTGAGAGAGACAATAATAATAATAATAATATGTACATGAGAAAGTGAGTGCACAAGGGGAACACAAAATATCTTCAAATACGTGTTGTAATACGGATTTTGGCTAGAAAACCTCCGTCATACCAAACTCGGCAACCACCAAGGCGGTAACATCAATGCAGAAGGCCAGCGTTTGCCCACTCCGCTGCAGCGGCGCTATTGGTTGGCTTTGCCTCATCCCATGGGCCGTTGATTTGTTTTTTCATGCTGCCATGCAACGTCAGAAAACACCATGGGATAACCAAAGACACGGCCACCACCAAAAGGCAGTACACCACAGCAAGTATGGGCACCTGCATCAAACACCCAGCGGCTAACCCACAGAGCGCAAATGTGAGTCCCACATGCGCTGTGGAAGAAGTGCGTTTGAGGTGATGCCTTGGAATGGGCGAAAGCGTAAAGCATAGAATACCAAATGTGATCAAGGCACCGCTACGAAAAAAACTTTGAATACGAGAGGCCACAAGAATTGTACCAAATGTTGCAGCACTAACCGACGTATTCTGTTGACATTTTTCCGTGTTGCAGTTCAGGTAGTTGTAGTCTGTTAACAACACATGAAGGCACATAGCAAAGGTGCTAAGGGCAACAATAGTGTCGTTACTGTAGGTTGCCGTAAGGGTCTGCAGAATGGGTGAAAAAAGAATAATCACGGCAACCAGAGGAAGAACCTGCCTCCCAAGTCCCACTACATGCTGGAGAAGCGGCGTTGGGGTTTCACCCTGCTCCATGGCCTGTTGGTGCTGCAGTTTCACGTAAAACACAAAGGAAAGCGCAAAGAGTGCGGCATTGATCCAAGTCAACGCGTACGCGTTCCCCTCCTCCGAGTACATCACAGTGAAGGCAAAAAGAAAAAACACAACAAACGTCAACTGCTGAACAACAACAAAAGTATCTAAGACGACCTTGCTGTACTCATATGTCTTCAGGTTGACATTCTCCCGCAACCCCAACATGAACTTTTCGGGATCCACGTAGTTGTCCTCAAAGGGCTGCCGTTCATATAACACCTTCCTCCACACCGGAGCTGTTGAAGTTGCTGACGAGGCCACATGATTGGGCGTAACGGAACATTCACCGCTACTCGTCGTCATATGCGTGCGATGTTGCATAGCTACAATACTGTTTATTTTCTATTATGCTGGGTTGCTCTCCCTCCACACCCGCCCTTCACCTGGCGAAAGATGCAATGATGATGATAATAATAATAATGTCCAACCGAACGAAGAAGAAAAGCAGTAGGCATGCGCACAGGGCAGCAACAAGACCGCATGCAATCATATATGCTCCACACAAGAGAAAAACAAAAAAAATGATCAAAAAAAACACACACACACAAATTTGTTCAGCATTGTAGTGGTTTTTCCGCTTGTGGGTATAATTTGTTTTCTTTTGGCTGCAATCTGGGTGGTTGTTGTTGTGGACGTGCGCGTGTGCGTTTTAAGGGAGGATGTTTCACACCTCCTTTCTCTCCCCCCCCACCCCCCACCACACACACATACACACACTTCAAGCAAACCGTAACTGCAAGTTGTTGATATTGTTGTTGTGATATTTGTCCAGTCGCATATATAATGTACGAAGTGTTGTGTTTGCTGTTCTTCTTCCTCTCTCTCTCTCTATCATTCCTCCTCCCCTATCCCCATCATCAAGCAGCAAATGTGTTTAGAGCTCTGCACGCAAAAGATACAAGCATCCCTCAGAGGAGCCGCACACAATTACCTGCGGTTTGGAAGGATGAACCGTGCAGCAAGTCAGTGTGGAGCATACACTTCTCGACGGGCACGGCACAGATTTCAACAAGGAGAGAAAAAAGCCATGGAGAAAGTGAACTGTTCCGCCCGACTCCTCTGATGCATTCGAATTTGTAAATGGCACAGTCGTCACGAGAAGATAGTGCTTTGATGTGATGCACCAACTCGTAATACGTCCTGGCGCTGTCATCGACCGCAGCGCCACACCGTTGACACTAATCTGATGTATCACATGATCCATCGCGGAGGCGTATAAAATGTTTGGTACATAGCAGCTCGCTTGAATAAGGATACGATCAATAGCAAACTTCTCTGGGTGCCGCAGACTGCGCTCGAGTCGGCTACTCGTAAGACTGTGAAGCATAAGCACACCGTCTCTGCTGGCGGTGGCGACGAGATCCAGTGCGGGACTAAGGTCCACCGCGGTTGGATTGTCCTCATGCCCATATACCGTGAATAGGAGTTCCACGCGCAGCTTGCTGCGCCCCTGCTGCAAATGGCAGCTCCAGACAATAAAGGTGGTGTCCTCTGCGCCGCTCACAATGTACCGACTGTCGACGCTTGCCGTGATGCGCACAACACGGCCACGATGCGCACTTAAGCGCTCCTCTACATAGACGGAGGAGGAGTCCAGTGGACGTATCACAAAGGTGTTGTCAAAAAGACCACCAAAGGCCACAAACACCTCCTTATCGAAAGAAAGTACCGCCACATTCTCCGTCTCACACGGACCACCGGCCCTACTACTTGTGCTTGGCACCACGCCGGTGGGAAGGGGTGCAGTACGACTTTCAAGCTCCAGCAAACAGTCACCACCCTGACGGACTCCAGAAGGCCCACCACCGGCAGTGAGCCCTCTTAAGTGCCCTGCCGTCGCCACTGCTGCAAGAGGTCCCCCGCCAGAGATATGCTTCCCCCCCCGTTCTGCGGACGGGCCAAAAGTGAGATGAAAAAGCAGAGCGGTCCCACTTCCACCCACAACGAGAAGACGATTTGATGCAACTACTGCCACGCGAGTCACACAGGAGCACCGACTTCGAATATCAACTGTCTCCATACTCAACAAACAAGTTACTAGATCAAGCACATCGCAAGGGCGTCGTTCAACATGACGTTGCGTGAAGAGTTGAATGGGAGTTTGCCCAATATTATCAAGGGAGTCAATAAACAATTGACGATCTACATCACTCTCACAGCTTCTATCCAGATCTTCATAGGAGTGCCTGTTAAACACGTTGAGTGCGGCAATGGCCTCCTTGCCACGTTGCTTGTATCCAAAGATTAAATCAATCCAATGATGCAACATTGAGGAGGCATAATCGCTTTCAAGAGCCTCTCGCATTCGGTAAATAAACTCGTAGGGATCTCCATGAGACCATGGTGGTAATTCAAGTGCATCCATCGCCTCTCCGTCCTGTTTACAACCAAACCGAACTCGATTTGTATTCATACAAATTTCTGGCATATAAAAAAGCTCTGGGATAACTTCTCGCACATCCTGTGAATTCGCCGTCACCCCACGCCAACAAGCAGCCATCGAATGAAACATACGATCCACATGATCAAATTGGCCACCTTGCAATATAATCTGCAAGGTGGTAAAGGGCTCCATACGGACCATATAATAAAGCACAACAGCAGAGGAACTGTAGTGTGTAAAGTAATGTGCTGGAATATCCCCAAGATGTTTAGCTACCTCGTACCGCATCTCCACACGTGCGCGACACTTTGGACCTCCAAGTGCACCCACAGGCAGTGTAAAATCACGAAACGTGGAACTGCTCGTTAGGTCTAATTCTTCACTGGTGTAGTCAGCAATAACCCATGGAAAGACCGGGTACTGGGAGAGATCGTTAAGAGAACGACCACCAAAAAAATTTAACCACAACAAGTAGTCAAAATTAGAGATATCTCGCTCACGCCACTGTTCCATGCATCGCCAGAGAAGTGGGTCCTTCTTAGGATTCATATGGAATACACATAAAGGTAAATAGGGCACTTTATGTCTCTCTGCTGCAGCACGTATGTTGCTCACAGCCGCACGCATGTCTGGAAGTGTGGCAAAATTAATCAATACACTCCTCCCATCAATGAACCAAATTTCAACGGCACTCCGCTGCATTCGAAACCGGCGACCTGGCGCCAACATCCTTACATGAGCAGAGGGATAAATGATACTGCCTGGCTTTATCAGCAACGACTCCGCCTCCTGAGCAACTCGCTGATTATACGCCTTGTTCTCATCGTCAAAAAAAATACAAAGATCACTTTCTCGTATCATCATAGTCGCACTCCAACAGTGCATCATGTATGGAACCTCACACGCCATCGAGAAGTGTACTGTTGGCTGCTCCCCCGTTGCCACAGTAAAAACCTCAACCTCACCTAGTTCCTCCTCTTCTTCCTCTCGTTCCTCTTCATTTTCACCCTTCTCAGAGTGTTCTGTGGATAATAGCATCCGCTCTCCACTGCGAGAACATGGATGCCCTTCTTCAGCCTCTTGTACAACTGTAGAGGAGGATCCCATAGGTGCGATATTCGCGTGGTCTGTCCCATTGACATCAAACACCAGTTTGCGACGAATAAGCTTCTGCTGCTCCACTTCCAAGAGACGGACGTATTTGGTGCTGTGTTGTCCAGCAGGGTCAAAATCCCAGATGGTGCCCTTGCACCGTTCCAGAAAACGGGCCCAGATGGTGTTAAACACAGCCGTGGCAAGTGTACGCGCCGTTTGTGGGGCAAATCGTTCTGTTAGTATCCCTGTCCCTGCAGCTTCCAAAGATACTTCCTGCAGGTATTGTTCCAGTGCATCATGCATTTGCCTACGGGCCACACTTAAACTCGTAATAATTTTGTGCAGCTGTCCCATGACTTTTGCGTGCTCCTTCTCAATGAGCCGTGCCATGCCCTTTTCGGTCAATTGGGCCCGCTCCATGATGAGGGTGCAGTGACGCAGAAAAACATCATAGTCCCGTCGCGACGCCACATCCACAAACTCTTCAATGGACTCCTCTCGCCTCCTGGAACACAGCCAGGAAAGTGTGTCCTTGCGAGTTTGTGGTGCACTTTCATCTGAGGGACATTCCGTGTGAAATATATGCATCTGGGAGAAAGTCTTCCTGTACAGAACACAAAGACCCTTGATGCGATTCAGGATTTCATGGTTTAAGCCCGCAAACCGTGTGGAGGAGCCCTCCACCGAGAAACGCAAACGCCGAACAAGAAGTTCGTGCAAGCTGAGTATCATGATCATGGAACCGGAGAGTGGCGAGTGCTCTCGCAGCTCCGTCACTTGACGCCAAAACAACAGAAATGAGCTTTGCGCCCTCTCCACCGCATACACCCAGCGCTCTGCCACTAGCAAAATGCCTTCCACTTGCTCGGCATCACACAAGGTAAAGTTGCATGTGACGCGGAAAAGGCGCACAAAAAAGCGCAAAAAGCCTCCTTTACGAGACTGACGCCCACGCTGATGAGAATCCGAGGCACCGCTGTTTGTTGCACCACCAGAAAGAAGCACCGCATCACATGACGTAATAAGATGCATGGTGCTAACAGCGAGAGCTGCATGGAGCCAAACTCCATCAGGATGAATGCGAAATTGCAAGGCCTTGCTACCAACAAAAAAACGATACTCTGGCATTTCGCTTAATCCCTCTTCCTCTTTTTCTTCTTCCTCTTGGGATCGATGCTGAGACTCGTGTGCGTGGCACTTCATGGGATTAAGTACAAGCTCCTCCTCCTCTGTGTATCCACGCTTCCAGGCGGACTCCACTGACTGCGCCACTGCGTATGTTTGGTAGGTGGTGGCTGAGTAAAACAACACATCCTCAATCACAAATAAAAACATTGTGAAGTTTGTCACTGCCTGCTGGCTGCCGAGGCCTAAGTGTCCCACATTAAAACTGTGAGATCGAGTGGAAAGCAATACACTATACTCCTTTACCAATCCCAACAAGACTGCGTTCAGTAGCACATGAGCACGCTGCTGCACAAGATACGCCACCAGCAGATCCAGTTCTGAGACTTCATATGCCTCATAAAGAAGCGCATTAAAGAGCAACCTGACAAATATTGTCTTTGTTGACGCTAAAAGAGGCGACTCTTCCTGTAATTGCGTATCTCGTGCATCATCTTCTGAAAGGTACAAATCTACAAAACCCGCATACCAGCCTGGCACCGACATGAGACTTTTCCACGCTGATGGATCTTGCTGCAACAACGCTGCAACATCGGACATGGTTTGATTCTTCAACGCCACCTCTTGACACTGTTTCATCATCTGCAGCAGTGGTGTGAGGGCAGGGGCAAAAACAAGCTTGTCCTCTCTTCTCAACTCTATACAATCCTTTATGGGTGCATCAAACCGACCAGTGAGAGCAGCACGCAGTGTGGCGTACAATTCATCATCCACCGGCACAGCGCGAAGTGTTTCCCTGAGCCATGAAAGTGAAATCCCGCTGGCGACGTAGACTGCCTCGCGTGCAAACAATAGGGAGGGATTCAGCAACTCCTGTGTCCACCGAGAGCGACTTACTAGTAGGCAAAATAGCAATAACGCCTCATTTTGCACTGGCGCAGAAGAATCCTTTAGGAGTGAGATAAGAACTGCAGCAAGGTTCTTCTTACCCATAAAGGCAGCAAGAAGAGGGTTACGTGTCGCCATCAAAATGCGAGAACGTTCGAGAATTTCAAATAATACCGCCGGCTCACTTTGTTTTACACTATCAGTTATCAGACGCAGAATAACATCCGCATCATTCATTGTAAGTGGATCCACCATAGTAACTTCCAAGAGGGCAAAGAGTTCGCTTCGCATGGATAGGTGATGCCCAGAGAGCGTATTGTACACGTGAATTATCTCGCTCACGATAAAACTGGGCAATTCCAGCGCATGCACACGTCGGCACAACTCACAGTTTACGCTGCACATGGCAAGCTGAGTTTTGATAAATGTCAGCTGTGTCTCCTCGGAACACGCCTGTAAAATCTCCCCCGAAAGAAAGAGTGAGGTGTACGCCGCATCAAAAATAGCAACATTTGATAGAAGAGCGTTGCACAAGTTTCCCAGGCGCTGGGCGAGGTTGGAGCAGTGATAGTCGACAAACTGCTGCAAAACATGGGCAATAATAGGAAAAAGGCCAACCTCCAACACGTCAGCACGGACAATATTGCTAAGCAGAAGCGACTCCACAAGTTTCAACAGATCGTCTATCGCCTTACGGGTGACCTCCGGCACTGACTTGCGTTTTGCCGGCGGTACACGGCACTGAAACGGGAGTTGGGGATTCACCAGAAGAACCAGCAAGGGCACTGCCACCGTGTGTAGTGCGCCAAGCACACAGAGAGCATCAATAATACTGTTTGTACCGCACGCGACAGTACCTTCGTAGGTAATCAAGGGCCACCCGGAGGCTTGACTACGCATCAGCGTCGCCAAATTGTGAACTTGACCACGTTCGCCAAACCGGGGATCAATATAGACGGCAATTTGCGAAGCGTACTGTTTTACACTCGTCACACCCGTGTCTCCCTTAAAAAAATCTACAACCTCCTTTAGCGACAATGGACGCAGGAGAAAGTAAACCGCAGTCATTTGTCCAGTGAAAGAAGCTCTAGAAGAGCGCTGTTGCACGTCCTCACCACGTGTTCCAATGTAGAAGAAACCGGACAAGAATGTCGGGTATTGAACCTGAAAAACCGCGGCAACCTCTACTCCATTGAGGAAGCATAAAAATTCATTCCCATTGAATGGGAATGCCGCCTGCCGATGCACGACCGTCAGGTGTGTCCATGTTTGTGGCGGGATGCTGCAATTCAAATCAAACTCCAAGACTTTCTTCTCTGCATTCTGAAATACGACCGAGACTCCTTGGGCCGTGGCGACAAGCTCCAATACAGTCCGTCTCTCCAAGTTTTGCAAGGAAAAAATACACTGCGGCCTACGCCAGTCCGCACGCCGTTCCATACGCACCCACATACACACAGTGTATCCATCCTGTGGGAAGTCTGCCAATATGGCCTTCACGCCCGTTTGTCCACTGCGCTCGCGGAAGGCAATGTAATTCTGCCGCTCTGTCTGTTGCTTAAAAAACATGTAGGAGGCGACATTAAGCACCTCAGTGACGATGGGAACCAACCTGCGCCGCTCCTCCTCATTCTCGGTGTGAGCGATAGCAATCAGAAACTGTTTTACTTCGCGGACACTGATGTGGTGGCTAACTATATTCTTAATCAGCGACAGCACCATCTCAAGCAGCGCGGTACCAGTGACAACAGGAATCAACGCCGTCAAGACCTCAAACAGGCCCGCATTTGCCAGCATCCACAAGGAGATAAGCGAGGCCCTCAAGGTCTGCAAGAGCCGGGCCAAAAGGTACTCCAACGCGTCTCGGTGCTTCGTAGTAAATTCCTTCAGCTTCGAAAATATACGCAACAGAGGCGATAACAACTCGGGATTTTGTATGACAGTGTCTTCTTTAAGCTCCGCCAACAAGGTCTTGGTGCTTGACCTACTCTTTGACGTGGGCGGCGTATTCCCCTCTTCTATGTCGCTCACTTCCTCGTATACAAGCACAAGAATGAGGCGAACAAACTCCAACCACGACCCCCCACGCGAAGTAAACCATGCACCTTGAAAACACGTCACCATTTGTTCTGCGTCCATGGTTTGAAAAAGGCGAGCACGCAAGGTTGGATTTCCCTGCACCAGCATGGCAATTGTCCGCAGAATGCATGCGAGACCGTGTGATGCCCGCACACCATGCCACGGCAGAACTGCCCGATGCAGCAGGCAAAAAAAAGGATCCGGCGTGTTAATAACGCCAACGCAGAGAACATTCTGCAGTTGTCGCACAGAACCCCAACAAGGCAAATCCACAGCAATAACATGGATGGAGGTACGAATACAGTACAAGATAGATAGCAAAAGATGATCCTCGTCATCGGCGTTGATAGGTGCAGCGACAAGTGATCCCTCCGTCTCTATTCTCACACATTGACGAACCAACTCCCAGGTGTGTTTTACCAGCGGCGTCATCCGTTGCGTATACTCCACCTCAACACAGCGATGGGAAAGCAGTGACACCAACATCTGCTCTGCGTTTACTCGGATGCCTCGTACGGTAAGAAGGGATAATGCAATTTCGGCCTGATTCATCAACACTCCCTGCTGCACCTCGGGTTGACGCAATAACTGCATCAAAAGATATGTCACCCATTCTCTGACACCACTAGCAGCACCAGCAATATCCCCTTCTTGCTTATGCGTAGTGAAAATACTAGACTTGCTGGCAATCGTGGCAAACATCGCTATGGCGTTGCGTTGCAAGATGATCTCCAAAACCTGAGCTGCATTGGGGCCGTACACAGCTGAAAGCAAGATCGCACACATGAGCACTGACCTCTGCTGCACCTCCTGCGATGCCTCCTCCATGTCAGTGCTAAGGAAGACCTCAAGTGTGATTCCCACCTCCTCTTCCACGTGATCCTCCAGTGACGTCAGGCGGTGTGTGAGCATGTAATGCAGCAGAAACACTGCCGCGTAGTGCAGGCCTGGGTCTTCTCGAAACGCCCTAAAGGTTTGCTCGTAAAACAAGATGCGGTACAGCCCAGCATTGATCAACGGCCGTATGAGGTTACCATTCTGCGTCTCCACTGTACCCAATTCATGTAAAGGAAGAGAGGCAATCGTGTACTTCATCAAGGCTTCGTAAATACAGGATGCGGGGGCGAGAAAAGTGGGGTCATCCAAAAGCGCTTTAATAATTGTCAGCTCAATTTCCGCAAACACACGGCGTAGTGCCGGATCCCGTCGCACTTCTACCGTGGTCCTAACCAAACGCTGTGTCTCCAGCAAACTAATATAGCTATGCAAAAACTCGTCCACAGCATTATCATCCGCCAGCCTATCAAAACGTGGACGGGGCAAGTGAAGCACCTTTTCAGAGAGCTTGCGCACGCGAAAGGTTTCCAAATTCGTGACGGACAGCAGCTCCCGCAGTGCGTCTGCTCGCGCTCGCACATAGCTTTCGTCGGTACGTGCAGCTTCGTACTGTCGGCCCACCACCTGCAACGTACCCACCAAGTTGTCAAAAAAACACACCGAACTCATCGCCTCAATGGTCACCAACGGAGATTCCCTCAACAACTTAGCTACCAGCAATAAACTATACGACAACTGCCGCAGCAGTCCAAGCGACTCCCCCCGCTCCTTTGCCGCAAGAAATCGAGCAAGCTGGATGCCAACACCGGAAAGGGTAATGCGAATCAGCCACACACTAGGAGCTCGCTGTAAACTTGACATAAAGAGGACCAACGAGCGAACAACCTCAGCGACCACGTCTCCCTCCACTACTTCCTCTTTCTCCTCCTCCGTCTCATCTTGCACACTTAGGTCTAGCGCACCTTTTGAGAGACACAAAAAAAGATGTCCACACCCTTTCAGCATTCCCTCGCAACACGCTAAAGGATCTCCTGCACTGGAAACCCCAAATGCCATCTCTGTGGTGGGGGAAGAAGGCAATTGTGGCGTTGTCAAAAACTTCAAGATGGTGTTGTCCGCTCGATAACGGATCAGCTCCCTCGTTACCAGACCTAGGTGAGATCCCCGTGGCACCAGCAGCTGTGGATGTAGTTCCAAAGTGAAGGGTCAACAACAGCTGCATCGTTTCATGAAGAATGCGTATCATCGTACCCCGCCGCAAAAAATTGGTTTGCAACATGGTATTTGAAAAACAACTTGTTCTTGCGTCGAATGGGGTTTCGATCTGGCTCTCAAGTGGGATGTCCGTGTCAGGCACCGTCGTTATCGCTGTTGTATTCGTCCATGCGGTGATTCGACCCATCAGATTTGTGTAAACAAATTGAAGTACAAGCAATAATTGACGATCGATTCCAAGTTTCAGCATCATCGAACCAAATCTCGCTTCATCTGTCATGAGTATCGCATGCAGGGCGAGAAGTGAGTCCTGCAAGAAGTCGGCAAATTCTCTTTCCTCAAAATGGACACAAGCGTACTCCAGACGCTGAAGCAGCAGTGTCAGTAGCCGTGCGGGTAAAGCAGGCTGAGAAGATTCGCCACGAAGCAGCTTCAACACAGATCCTTCCAGGCCGGTGTCTGACGAATACGAATTTGCATGGCTAGATGACTCGCACCGACTCTCCAGTTTTTCCAACTCGAGGCAAATCCCTTCACTTGAAGGTAGACTAAGGAATCTGGTGAATTCCGCGGCATCCTCCGCCGCCGCCGCCGCCGCTGCTGCATCTTTCTCGTCTTCTCGCTCTTGCGGCCTTCGGGTGGTGTCATCATGGCCGCCAATGAGCTTCCTAGTAACTGCAAAAAACTTGAACATCGATTCCCAAATCTAACTCGCGCCAGGCAAAGCTTGCTCTTTTCCCAGCCGCAAGTATTTTGGGTGTTCGCTCAAAAATCACTGGGGGGGAGGCTTGGCGCTACGGTTTCCTAAAAATACGGCGACAACGGCATACACTCCCTCTAGCGTTGCATTGAAAACAGGAAAAAAGGGGAAAAAAGGGGGGGATAGGGATGGGGGGAGGAAGAAAGAAGCACATGTTTTTTTCAAAGTATCCTCGCATTTCAGAGACAATACGGGCACATGCCCCATATCGGGAGTTCGTCGCATCCCCTGCTTTATTCTTGTTTTTCTTCCACGTGTGCGTTTGTCGTGGAGCACCGTGGCTCCGCTACCTCACACTATAACAAGTTTGGTCCTCGCTTCAGCGGAGAACAAATCTTTTCCGGTACGGTGGATTGATTGCTCTTCCGCGTCTTCCGGTACCACGCCTTATTTCCCTCCGTCCCTTCCCACTCCAGGGAAGCCCGACCCGGGTACGGAGGGAGTGCTGACCGTTGCCGCTGGCACAGACAGACCTCCCACCGTTGCGTTCTCCCCTTCAGCCCTCGGTTCAACCACCTGTTGCTGCTGTTGTTGTATGGAGTCCGTTTCGCGCAGCAGCTCGTCAAGTCTCGCCCTTACAGGGCGCAGGAGAACTTCCCGCGTTGTTGCATTGGAAATAAACACGCAAAGCAATTCTTTCTGGGTCGTCCATTTTTCCTCCATTGCGGCAACGGCAAGCTGAATTTCCTCCGGTTTTTTACGTGCGATTCCCGATAGCGGTGCGGAGATCTCTGCAAAGAGCATCTGCACCAGACGCTCGCAGCACATCTTGATTTCCGTCTCCACATCCTTTTTGGACTCCCGCGAAGACTGCACAATTTCAAGTCGTCGCTGCGCAATTTTGCTAAGATCAATACGCTTCTCCACAACAGTAATATTTTCGTCGATTCGTGAGAGCTCCTCACGAAGGTGAAGCAGATGACACAGTTGACACATAACGCCTTTCATAACGCCGTCCTCCCCTCGCTGTTGACTCATAAGCCTCGCCAGCTCTTGCACCTGCGTTAAGGTGCAGTGAATAGCTTCCTCCGCAAAGACTGAGAAGACGGAAAATTCCAGAGAAGGGTAAAGAATACGGAGGAGGGCCACACAGTTACTAAGAGCCGGGATGTAGGACTCACTCGAAGTGACACCGTCCTTTTGAAATTCCTGCACCATCGCCTTGGTGGGGCCACCACGCATAATCGACTGACGCAAAAATACACTTGTGCGGAATATCAAACGTTCCTGTGTGTCCTGAATTAACTTGATGAGCAGTTCACCGAGCTCCGCAATACCATCATGCCTCGTACTCTCCCACTGGATCGCCTCTATTGTTAGCGCCAACTCCTCCAGCTCATCCACCTGCAATAGTTGGGAGCGGAACACATGATAGACCTCATTAGAAAGACCATTAACAAGCTGCTGAAAAACACGTGCGCTAAAGTCTTCTCTCAGCCATACTCGATCAAAGACCTCCTTTTCTCCCATTATGGCAACCTTCATGAGAGAAGTGAGATGATTCACAAGTTTCGGCATTGGCTGCACCATCGCATCAACGCCACACCATGCCTCTAGCCAGTTTTTAAGAAGAGGTCCTACAACTAAAATACGCGTTTCACGGTAGGCGTCAAGGATCTCGTTGTCGTTCATGTCATCCGTCGAATCGACTTCCCCTCCCCGTGCCTCCATCATTCGTCGAAGAGAGGCTTTTTCACTAAGTTTATCGCAAAAAATCGCATTAATGCGGCTAAGTGACTCTGCGACATATCTTTGAGCGTCCAACCCATCTTTTACACTAGGGAGTGGCAAGGATACAGTGGTGGCGGTAGTACCTGCAGGTCCCCCCGTATCTGTGGCTTCACTTGAACTCTTCCGCCGTCGCTGATAGAACGACACTTGGTAGGCCTCAGCGTTCACAGTCACAATTTGCGCAGACTGCAATGATGCCACAATGGCATCCTTTAGACACTGAAGGGCACGCTGCTGCGCCAGCGCCAATCGTGTTGCGTACGTCTTGGAGGACAACAGCTGTGGGTTCCGAGACAGAAAATGCATCTCCTCCTCCATCTCCTGCAGCATGCCTGGGTAGCGTGTGGAGGCGGCCGAGAGCGCAGGGCTCTCGGCTTCCTGTGCCAAAACTTCAATGCGGGTGAAATGCCCAATCATCCGTTCAAGCTCCTCCTGGACCATCTCCAGTTTTGTCTTCCGGACCATAAGCGCGGACGCGTTGCTGCTCAGGAGGTTGCTTTGCTCTTGCACAGCCCCCGTGACGTCTTGCATGGAGCCTAAACAGCCTGATAAGTTCTTAAGGACACTCAGACACCGTTCGCCCATACGACGTCCCTCGGAAGCACGGTCCAGCCAATGCTGCAGACCCTCCACGCGGGACTCGCTCTCAATCTTCGCAATTTCCCGCAACATCTCCTCCGTGGCTTGCGCCTCCTCGTCCTTCTGTGTGTTACTTAGCCCGCCTGCACGAGGGGGCGAAGAGGCACAAGACATTAAGGTGCCAAGCCGCATGGAGTTATCCATAACAGACCCGCCGAGCTCCACCATGCGGTCACCAAAGGGGATAGCGTGCTGAAAGCTCTTCGTCGTCTGCGCCAACGCAACGTCAAGGCGGTGGGAGAACTCCGCATCTGAAAGCATGACTACAGGTGGACGACAGCAAACGATCACCTACGTCCACACAGGCACACAGAACAAAGGAGAAAAATCAACGCATACAATGCGGACTGACATTTAGCAACAACTAAAACTATCAATAAAACAATTCACATCTCTTCATTTTAACGGGGCTTTATATCTTCACAAACTCACACTAGGATACTCTTTTTTTCGGCCTATGTGCTCCTTCTTTCTTATCCCTCCATATCCTACTCCTTTTTTTTTGCCATTCTTTTTCGTTTGACACCATTTAGTTGGTGGAATGTGGGGAAACACATAACTCCTGTTCCTCTAGCAGTTCCGCGAAGACCTCAGTCAGCCCCGCATCCTCCCCACGTTTCAGCGAATGGCGACGATACTGCTCAACCACATCCGCCCGGCACTTCCAACACAGCGTTGGTGTGACGTCCTTTGAGGCAGAGCGCATCGCCCGCAGCAGCGCCGGAAGAACGCGTTCAAAAACCTCTAATACGCCGCCAGCAACGGAAGCAGAAGCGCCATCTGCAGCCGCCTCCTGAAGTCGTGTGCACCACGCCATAAAGCACGCGTCACCCGCCGTCGTAAGACGGTAAAGGTTGGGCAGTAACCACAATCCCGTCGAATCCGTTTTCCCCATCTGACTCACCAGCACACGCGAGGCTAACTGCACTGTCTCTGCCCGCACAATACGTTCGTTACGGCACAGCGCCCCAGCAAGAAGAATATTCACTGCATCATGAACAGACATCTGCTTCTTCAAGAGAATGCCATGCTGCACTTCGTCTAGCCATGCCACGTTCACTGGACAAGGAGTTGTCGTGGTCGTTCCAATAACTGTGGCCAACACAAGGACGGAACCCTCAGCGGCTGAAAGTGTTGAAACCCCGTTCCTACGTATTTGGTCTGCAAAAAACGACAGGAGCTGCGATAATTCTTGTGTTTCTCCCATCGAATACGGGAGTGCCAAAAGATGACTCATGGAAAGAACCTCCATCACTACCGCAGCTGCTGACGAAGAGCACAGAGATGCATTTTCACTCCTCTCCTCGACTACAGTTCCCTGCAATAGCGCAGCAAGACGACGCGCCGAGTCCAGCGCGTTTCTATAGACGACACATGGCGCCCCAATGTGCCTACAAGAAATCTTTGTCAAATGTCGCAACGCACTACTAACACGACGAGGATTTCGGGCCACATCCTCATCCCGCAATTTCTCTGAAATAACCTCTAAAAACGGTGCGGCCTCTTCAGGAGAAAATTTGCCGTGATACACCAAAGCACAGGCGCAGCATGCGCAATAAAGCTCTGCCACCTTTTCCTCTGGCATCAGTCGCAGTCCCGGTGACAGCGAGACCAAAGCCGTCTGGTGAGAAGTAACGGCGTACGCTATTGCCTGAGCAGAGATGCATTGACGCTGGTACCGCCGCAGTTTACCCACACAACCGTTAAGGGCAAGGGCAATCATCAGCCAATTCCTCTGCTTACGTGGTGAGCCATCGTCCAGAATACGCTTCCTGGCAAGCAGCAACTTCACCGCCATCTCAAAGTACGTGTCAAAGGCCGGTTGTGGTGGTTGATCAAAAAAAAACAAAACCCGAACAACCGCGGCGATGTCCTCCAGACTCTGAGTCTCCAACACAGCAGGGACGGATTCAGATTGTTCAATGAGTGTTGTCATACGCTCCACAACGCTTATTGAAAGCAATACAAGAGGATTGATAGACGCCTGTGTTACAGGTGCACACGCATGGCGCCAATCCTGTTCCAGACTTGTTTTGTACGCCGTAGTTGAAAAAAGGACGTCAGGGCTAAGAAATCCTGAGAGTTGAAGGGCCTTTAAGATAGATTGACACTGCTTCAGACTACATGTACTTACCTGTTTCGCAACATTGCTAGCCAATGTATTTAAAACGCGCCCGTTCCATGCGCCAAGACGAGCAAACGCATTTAGTAGTAACGAGATCTCCAACGGTTCCATGGCCGAAGACATATCCCGGACGAACGGGACAACTTCGTAGAGAAAAGTGTGATGCCTCACTCCCACTTTTTCAAAACTCTGCACAAGCATAACAACCTCCTTCGGTAATATCTGCGTGAAGGTTGGTTCATCACTGGAATCACCAAGTTGCTGCAGCGAGGCGCAGGCAACATCTCCCAGAATCGAAAACGCCTGTTTTGTCACGATTAATAGAGGTTGCTTAAACTCATCAGATTCATCAGCCGCAGTATCATCATTCAAGAAATTCGTTTCTTCCTCCTCGGTTTCCTCCTCCAGCTCTTCAGTCAACTCTGCTCCGAAGCTTTCGTGTCGAACGTTGTTGGGAAGGCAGGAGCAGAATTCGTACAGCTGCGCCAGGCCATGGGCAAGAAGTGCGATGTCACGAAGTGGCGGCGGCGGCAGCGATGAAGCGTTAGTGGACATCAAAGTGCATGCATTTGTCATTGCAACTTCCGTCAGTTTAATCAATGCCTCCAGTACGGTGGGCTTCAGTGTGGCTGTCTTCAAGACCGGCAGCAGGCGTCGAAGAATCCATGTCGTCTTTTTAGGTGCCGTCTGCAGTAGCGTCGCCAGGTGGTGAAGAAAGGACGGAGGGATGGAAACCGCGCGCACCCGTCGAACCCCCTCCAGAAGAGACTGCGCGTCATAAACGTTCAACTCAACCGATCCACTCCGCTCCAAAATTGCCTCCATGGCCCGCTGCGCCTCCGCCTCCCCAATCAGTTCCAGTGCCATTAATTCTCCAACGGCCTTGGCTAAGGCCCCGACCTCGTATGCGTTAGTGACAGGTGCGACAAGACACACCTGTCCAGCCACCGCGTCCAACAGACGCGAGGGGGATCGAGTCGTCACAGATGCCGTTGTCACCGCCGTTTTCATAGAGGCATTTCCGCCTCCTCCCTTCTTTCCTTCAGACAAGAGGAGATGGAGAAGCATCACGAGAGACTTTGGATTATCAGTCTGCGCGATGCTTCCTACGGCGCCTTGCCGCAGGGTCTCACACAGTTTATCTGCACGCTTAAGCGATACCTCCTCCTCTCGTGTGACAGTCACCGCCTCATTTCGGTAAGCATTCAAAGCATTCATTAAAGCCGAAGTAAGCAAAATCACGTCGGTGTCACCCAACGCCTTCTGCTTGAATTCTTGACTCAATCCGTTTCCGCCAACTGCATTCCCATCACCAGAACTACAAGTAGCATCACCATCAGTGCCGTTGTTATCATCGGAGTGGCCTTTTGACAAGCAATCGACGGTCACCGACAGTTTTGGTTCCAAGGCCTCGTAGACGGCAGTAACCCTGGGGTACCGCAGCCGTAAAAAGAGAAGTAGCAGCTGTGCCGACTCCATACTCGTCAAGGTCCCAGCCGCCGCCCAAGCAATAACACGATCTGCGGCTTGCTCAATGCATGGAAGCACGGATGGGAGACGAACAACTTCCCAAAAAGGGACATGGTGTGCCTCACCTGAGGATCGTGAAGCAGCCTCGCTGCACCTGGCGAGGCCTTGAAGAAACGGAATAAGTTGAGCTGGCGGTACCTGTTCCATGGAAGCGGAAAAACAACCACAAAGCAGATTCACAAGATCATCCGCCAGTTCTTCATCAAGACGGGAGAGAGTCGACATCAGCGATGAACACTCGATATGTCGCAGTGAGCCTGGATGCGTTTCAGCGATAAGAAACAGTTTTGGACGTACTGCCTCAAGAACACGCCGAACCATAGATGATTCTTCTGTAACCTCCGTTGCACTGGAACGTAGTCGCACCAACACCTGGAGAGCTACGCAGATATCTTTCACAGATGCAGAAGCCAATGCAAGAGGCAATAATGCAAGAACAGCACGGGACAACTCCCTCATGTGTTGTGCATCCTGCAACTTGGACGTTACAGAAAGTAGGTGGCAAACGTCACTAGGTCGTTTGCTCGTCCCTGTAGATGGGCCAAGAGCCGCATCAATCATTGGTCGCACCTTATTTAATCCATCCCTCACTGTTGCCGCGAAGTCGTCTTCAGCATCCGCTTCAAGGCGCCCGCAGGCCTGTAGTATGTGAACACACTCAAAAATCTCAAGCGGCGGAAGCTGTCGCTTCACCATCATGAGCAGCGCATCAACGCCTTTTGTGAAAAATAGCAATGCCGTTTGATACAATTTCAAGGAATCCTCCATTGAAGAAGGGCGGCGAAGGTCGTCTTCGCCGATAGCCTGCCTCGCTTCATCCGCATCACCACTGTCACTATCCAGCACTCTCCCCACAAGAGTAAAGACGGAGACGACGGCACTGCGATGTTGTTTTAGGTCCGACTCCAAAGATGCCGTCGCAAAAACTGGGGTCTCCAAGGCTGTCAGCAGCGGTGTGCTGAGTTCCTCAACCACGAAGCGTCTTCCAGCCGTCTTGCCATCCTTGAGGTTAAGCAGCGGCATACAGATGGACATCACTTGCCGCAGGGACACCAACTGTTTCTTGTTCATCCGCACCCACCGCAGCGCCTCGGCCACACGAGGGGTGGTTGTGGTGGCCCCAAAAGCCGCCGCGACGCTTAACAGCTTTCCCACTTCAATGCAAAAAGAGGCCGACTCGGTATCCACATCTGAAAGTGTGTCACTGCCACGGACTTCCTTTCGGAGGAGTTTCATTGCCTCGCCCACCAACTGTTGCCGTTCCTGCAACGCAGAGACAAAGTGGTCACGGGAAGTGGACATCAACTGCATGGATGCATCTCGGCGATTGAGAGGGTTCGTCGGCCGCTGATACTGGTGCCGTATGCGTAGCAGTGCCGTAAGTACAGACTGTGACCGCGCTGCTGATCCATGCAACCACAAATGCGTTGAGCGCAGCATCGACTTGGCTGCACACACACACACTCAAATACGATAATTTGCGCTCAAACAAGTGCGTGTGTGCGGGCCCCACTGCCGAACTACAGGGAGAGGAGCAAGAAAAAAAAAAGGATTTGCAAAGTAGTATGTCCAAAATTGAGATAAGCTTGTAACAAGTAGAAAATATACCAAAGATATGCATGCATTTAGACGCATTTACCTGCGGGAGAGAGGAAGAGTGGAAGAAAGCTTGCTCCGTCTGCGCTCATTCTCACTTCCTTACATATCCTTCAGAATAGAAGCATACATATATATATATATATATAATCGCGCCGTCAATCGCTCATTAAAACAAAAAAAAAAATAATAATGTTGTCTTCTTATTTCTTCTAATTCTCATCCTCGCCTCCCCGCCTATTTCCTCAGCGTCACGCATCACTCAGCGAAGGTGAGGAAAAAGGTGGACGCAACAAAAAAGTGACAGATACCCACACGCATATCTATGTGTGCACGCGCCCACAGCACCAAAAACTATGACTTTTCATCCTCCTTTGCAACGTAAGTCGTTCCTTCCCGTTGCGTCTCTTTATCTTTTCGTTGTCGTTGTTATCATTATTATCTTCGCGTTTCCTCTTCCCACCTCCTGTTATTAAGTTGTCCTCCACTTCCATGTTGATGGCGAAAGAACTCGGTGTTTGTCGTGAGCCCCCTGCTAGTCGCCGAAAAACCAGCACGCTTGCTTCCACACGGTGGATAGAGGCACCACAACACGCGGTGATGCTCCCCCCCCCCCACCTTGTGGCCCCCAACCACATCTAACCCCAAGGAAGCGTAAAGAAAAAAAAGCAGAAAGCAACGGAGGGACGGAGCACACACACACACAGAAGCCTAGAAACAACAACAACTCAAAAAAAAAAAAAGAGGGCGGCGCTTAACCATTAAAGACTTCAATTGGCTGTGCCGTAGCCCTCCACATGCTTTTCATCCACCAACGGTGCTTCTTCTGCAGTGGTGTTAGTTGGAATTTGCACTGCCTCCTTTCCGTATTTGCTACTCCACTCCTGGCAGCGACGCACCTTACGCAAGACACAAAAGATGACGGCGACGAGAAAGCTAAAGAGTATTCCCAATGCCCACATGTACCCCGCTGTGCATAAGGCGACGTAACGAAAGGAACCGTCTTCACTAAGCTCATAACAGAAGGGTATCGAACTTTGTTGCTCCACCATAGTCGACAGGATGAACTCCGGCTGGTCTGGAAGTTGGGAAGTGAAATGCCCAAGAAAGGGGGACGGCTCAGCTTCTTTTTTGTTTATCAAAAACGGTGAGGCATACGTTGAGATCCTTCGACCTATACGATCCGCTATTAGCAGCATCTCGTGTGACGGGTTCTCATAGATGCCACTTAAGGAGCGGTGTGGAACCTGCTTTGTGATGCGGTATGTCCTCGCCCGTTCCTGGGGGTTGATGAGATGGGTCATGTCGGCAGAGCGAGGTGGGGCAACCAACGGAACGAGGAACGCTGAGCCATCTTCTTTACTCGTCACATAAACGTATGGGATTTCAAAGTACGATGTGGGCGTCTTGATGGGCTTCTCATAACGCGAAGGGAAAAGAACCTGCACGGGTGATGAAACAGGTATGGAAAAAAGATGCTCACCCGTTTGCGCAAGAAAGACGTGGAGGCGGTCAGCCGCGATGTCACACACTACAACGTAATAGGCGAGTCCTCTTACCGTCGAGTAATATCCGGCCGGAGCGGCCTGCTCTATAAGGGCACGTGGAAGCGGCGGTGATAAGGCCAACCCGCGCACGGAGAGCATCGAATACTCATTGCTCCATGAGGATGCAAACAGTCCGGCATTCGCTGGAACGCTGTCTAGCTCCGATACATTGGAGAGAGCATGCGCCACGTTGCGGACCGGCTCCCATCGCGGAAACATACCTTTCTCCGAGTCAACCCGTTTGTACTTTGTAACCGTGACAGAGTTTTGGTTAGACACAAAGAGAGAGCCGTCCAATGGGTGGAATGCCACCGCGTACGGATGATCCAGAAACGGGTTCTTGCTGCTTTGTGTAGTGACGGTAAAGAGATAGTTCCGAGTGCACCACTCATTAAGCGTGCGGTTAAGCAGACCATTTCCGGACACGGCAAAGACACGGCTGTACGTTCCGCGTGCACTAGTAACGTAGAGATGATTCCCAGGACCAAACTTCATGTCCCGAAGCTTCTCAACGCGAAAAGGAAAAGAACTCTTGTTTAGTACAAGGCCAATGTAGTGACCCGCAGTGTCAAAGGCCCAGATATTGTCACCCATGTTGGAGGTCACGTAGATGACGTGCGTATTGCCATTGGATGGGCAAAGCGCCGTGGCGGTGCTCCAGTTAACAAACACCAGCGATACCACAATAACCAAGACAGCAGGAGAAAACCGCATTTCTTCCCCTTCCTCCCTCCTTTTTCCAGTGAGAATATTAATGTACTATACCTCCCCTTGGCGTCTTTCTTGTAGAGGGAGATGAACCTTCTATAGGCGCCGTTGCACACACCACAAAAAATAGAGAGAGGAACAGTGAGTGAGTGAGTGAAAGTCATTTTGGCAAACCAACAAGCTAAGGAACAAAAATAAAGTGTACATAACTGTGCGTATATATATATATATATATTATAAGATGTCCTTCTAAACGCGCGACTCCAATACATACTTAATGTCAACAAAGGCATCAATGCCGTACTTGGAGCCATCCCGACCCAATCCGCTTTCCTTCACCCCACCAAAAGGCGCGGATGGCGAAGATAAGCCAACGTCGTTCACACCCAGCATGCCAACCTCCAGCTGCTCTGCAACACGGCTCTGTTTTCGGTAATCCTGAGTGTAAATGTACGCTGCCAAGCCAGAACGAGTGGCGTTGGCTAGTTGCACAGCCTCCGACTCACTTGAAAACTTGATGATTGGAACAATTGGGCCAAAGACTTCCTGCTGACAGCAGTTCATCGTTTCGTGCTTGACACATGTTAGGACTGTGGGTTCAAAGAAGTAACCAGGGCCAGAAATGCGTTTGCCTCCCAGCTCCACCTTGGCACCCTTTGCCACAGCATCATGCACCAACGCCTCCATCTTATCCACGGCTGCGCCATTGATGAGCGACCCCATCGTTGCATTTACGTCAAAGCTGTTGCCCACGTGCACCGCCGCAATAATTTCCCCAACAAGCCGCGCCACAAAGGCATCATGCATAGATTCATGCACAAAGACTCGATTGCTGCTGATGCATGTCTGGCCTGCATTGCGGAACTTGCAGGCTATAAGACCACTAACAGCTCGGTTGAGATCGGCATCGTCAAAAACAATAAAAGGTGCGTTTCCACCTAGTTCCAGTCCAAGCTTCTTCACAGTGGCGGCGGAGCGGGCGTACAAATGTTTCCCAGTTCTCGTAGACCCTGTGAAGGCAAGTTTGCGCACCTCCAAGGAGTCGAGTAGTGTGTCTCCAATCGGCTCGGCATCTCCTGTTATCACATTAAAGACGCCCTCTGGTACGCCTGCCGCCGCCGCTAACTGCGCCAACACGAGAGCGCTAAAAGGGGTGTACTCAGACGCCTTGAGTACAACAGTGCACCCTGCAGCCAAGGCGCCACCCACCGACCGGGTAACCATCGAGGAGGGAAAGTTCCAGGGCGTAATGACGCCCACCACCCCAAGGGGTCGCCGGACAACAGTTGTGGTGACCCCCGCACGTGGCCCAGCAATGATGTCACCGTACACTCGCTCCGCTTCCCCTGCATACCACTCAAGATACCGCTCCGCATACTGACTTTCACCCACGCCTTCCGCAAGAACTTTACCACACTCGCGTGAGATAATAGCCCCAAGGCTTTTACGATGCTGTTGCATTAATTGAGCCCAGGAATAAAGAATCATGGCACGCTCGCGAGGCATCATCTTTTTCCAGCCTTCAAAGGCTGACTTTGCCGCGTCAATTGCTTGCAACGTCTCTTTCCTTCCCATATTCGGCACCTCGCCAATAATTGTCTGGGTGCATGGATCCTCCACGGTAATGGTCGCACCTGTGGCAGGGGTCACAAATTCACCATTAATGAAAGCGGCGGGGCGGTCCAACACAACACCTGTGGCAAACCGCGCTGCATTACTCAAATCAAAAACGGCCTTGCAAAGGAAACGCGGTGCCCTTCGCATTAAATACCAATATAAAATTATGTGCCTCCGCGAGGTTCGCTTTATTTACCCCTCTTCACACGATGAATCGTTAATAACCGTTGTCTTTGCTTTACTTTCCTTTCGTTGTGCCCCCGACATGGCACGCATGCAGTACACGGAGTCAAACAAAAAGGAAAAAAGAAAAAAGAAAAAAAGTAGAAATGTCATATATTCGCTAGAGCCCACCCCCCCCATCAAAAAAGATGAAACATTTACTTTGAACATTTCATTTTTGCTTCCCGTGTTTTGTTGTTGTTTTTTTGTTCGTTTTCCCCAGTTCTTCTCCCCCACTTCCATTGCATGTATTCCTGTCTCTTCTCATAGAGGGGGAGGGAGGGAGGGGGGAAGGCACGATGTGGCCACCGCAGAGGATACACACGCAAACACGCAGGAGCATGCAAGGCATACGCGCCCACTACACTGGCCACGAAGGCATCATGCCCCACTTTAGACTACTACACAGTATTCAGTCCCTCCTGCATTTTCCACTACTATTCCCCCTTGACACACATACACACAGACACAATAATCTAATATATATATATATATATATATATCGAAAAGAAAAAAACAAGGGGCGTCCACTCCTTTCCCTATCGTACTAACAGATCCCTACTACACTGCTAATGAGAGTCATGAAAACAGGCTAATATTGGCCTATATCCTCTCCTACTCCACGCGGTCTGGCACATTCTTCCACAGCGTATCCATCTGTGGTCCCCATGCGTCAGACCACTCGTAGCCCGTGCCGAGCTTACGAGCCCACACGCGGAAGTACTCCTTCTTGTACTCAGAGCGCTTCGTGAACATGCTGCCCTTGCGTGCCATAATTAACCACATAACGACAAAGTACCCAAGAATACATATAAAGGCCTGACGATCCACAGGGTACTTCATGTGGTCATAATTGGTAAAGCAGCGGACGGAACTCGATGTCTTCGCCAAAATTCGCGAGGCCTGTGGCCCAACAGCGCGACGAAACATCTTATTTTTAGTGTTGTTGTTTTCACCCTCCTTTTTTAGCGCGTTTTTTTTTCCGTTTCCTTTTTGTTCTTGTTCGCTTGACTATCCGTGAAGTCTTATACCCTGCAGCGACGACCACCACGTGAGGCAACGAGAAAACGAGCTAAGCAGGGAAAAGATAGGCACAAATAAAGCGAGAGCAGTGAAGCTGGAAGAGGTGTCCCACGAAGCGTGGTGCGCAGGAAGAGGACTAAACTACCCATAGAGTACACCCATCCCCAAACAAACACACGCAAACACACATAAACAGATTGAAAAAAAGGCAATTCAGCAATTACTTTTTTCCAACGTTTTTGTTTCTTATTCTTTTTCTTTTTTACATCAGCATCACCTTGCATAGGTAACACCTTTGCCTTTTTGCCCTAAAGATAAGGAGCCTCGTATTGGAGACTGCAGCCTTCCTTTTGGAAGCGACAACATCGCCTTGCTGCACGTTAAAACAGAGCCCAAGGCGGGAGTAAAAGTATGCGTGCCAAAAATTGGCAGCCGCCTCCCCCCTCCTGTACCTTCAGCATTCCGCTGTGTCACCGCCTTGTACACCTCTTCTCGCTCCAGCGTCTGCAGTTGCTCTTGACTCTGGTTATACCGTCTTACCGCTGCTTTGGCCGCATCCTTTCCATAGAGTGACACCGCACGCTGACAAACATGCTGCGGCACTTTCGGCAATTCGACACTCCTTGACGATTGCCCCTCCGACCCCTGCGACAGAAACGACAGATGCGCGTTGACAAAGTCACGGATCACTGGATCCTTTGAATCAAGCTCTTGGCATGAGAGCACATCACGCAACGCGTAGCTTGGCTCATTCATGTCAAAACGACAGAGCGCTCGATGGTAGTAGTAACGAGGCTCATCCTCGCATGCCACAATTGCCCGACTAAACTCTCTCTCTGCCTCCTCAAGCTTCCCCTGAGCATGAAATCCGGCCCCCCATACGTCATGTAAGTGGGCCAGACGCCGTTTGGCTCCAGAATGGTTTGGAGAAATCCGCTCCACGCGAAGGAAGTCCTGCAAGGCGTTTTGATAATCCCCAAGTTTCGTGTAGCAATCTCCGCGTGCAAGTAGCACCGGAATGTTATCCGCATGCCAAAGAAGGGAAGTTGAATAGTAATCAATGGCATTTTTCATATTATCTTCGCCATCGTGGCCTGCACCAAGGCGGAAAAGAGTCTGTGTCATTAGCCCCACTGCATCTTTGTGACTACCATTTGAGATTTTGATGCACTTAAACAAGTCTGGTACAGCCTTTTTGTCCTGTCCTTCACTAACATAATATTTGGCGCGTTCAAAGTACAATGCCGGGTCCTCTGGAAACACCGCCAGACAACGGGTAAGCCCCTGCACATCCGACTGATCAATTGACCGCTGACGAAAAAAGGAGTATGCTCCATCAAAAATATGCTGCGCCAACAAGATCTGGGGGTGTTGACGATCCTTCAAGAGTATGCTCTCCAGCAGTGCCTTGGCGTGCTGAAACGCTTGGCGTTGACAGTAAAGGTGTACCAACAGCGAACTGCTCTCGATAGAAAAGGAGGGGCAATCCCGCATATGTTTCTCCAGTGCTTTTTCGGCCTCATCTGTACGCTCAAGAGCGATCAGGTAGGCACAACGGTGCAGCATCACCTGAGGGTGCTCAAGCAGCTGTAGAGACTCATCAGCAAAGCGAAGCGCCTGCACATAGTCCTTCACATTAAAGAGGACTGTGCTCAGCGCGTCGAGAATACCGGCAAGACGGGTTTGCACCGCAGCAATAAGGACACAATCGTCGCCAGCGACCACAGCTGAATGTACCTGAATAGCAGCCGATGAGGGCACACTGCACGCTAGCGAAGGTGGCAGGGTAGCCAAATTCGTCGTTAACGACAAGAACTCTTCAGTTTCATCCTTGCTTCTCTCATCCCCTCTGTCAAAACAGGCAAAGCCAATGGTGGCCATATTAAAATCGAGAGGTTCAAAAGGCTTGTCCAGTGGCAACGCACTAAGGAGGGAGACCGTTCCGCTGTCTGTCTCCTCTCGTGAGCGAAGCAGCCAGAGCGCCCGCCGGTACTGCTTGACGGCCCCCTTAAAGTCGCACAAGGAGATGAAGCACTCCGCGGCTGCAATAAAGGGCTGCGGCCTCTGCGGCATAAAGAAGGATGCCTTGCCAAACGCATTTATGGCCTCCCTGAGTTTTCCATGCTGCAGCATGAAGAGCCCCTGCTGGTAGCGCATTTCACCCATCTCCGCGGAACTTTCCAATTGTTTCCTCCTGCTCTTATTCCTACTGCTTCTCATTTCAAACGGGTTCGTGCAGGTAGGAAAAAATGTCTAACACCTATGTGGCTGTGTTTCTGTCATCTAACAACAAATAACAAAAAGAGCAGGGTCATTCAAAGAGAGGGCAGAAAATAACAACAACAACGCACTGCTTAAAAGTTTTTTTTTGATTTCTTTTTTTCTGAGAAGTCCAGTGACATTTTACAATACGATAATCACAAGATTCGAACAAACTCCGGTTCCCGCTTGAAGAGAGTTTACATGTTTCACAATCTTATTTTCTTACCGTTGAAACGGTACAACGACGGTACCGTTGGCATCTGAGAAAAAAAAAAAACGACCACCACCAACGACCTTTTTCTCCCATCCCCAAGAGAGACTGAGGCTTCAGCAAAATTACCACGTGATTGTAAGGACTTCCTTATGGAAGAACAATAATAATAAATCAAGTGAGGACCCGTCGCATCCTGCCCCTCTATGTGCAGGGTTGCCTTCGCACAAATTCTAGCAATGGTCCCGTATGCAAGGCACCGCCTCGGCGAGATCCAGAGGGGGGAATGTGGCGTGGTGTGCGCCCTCTCTCCCTGTCGCTGTGCCCTCCAAATAAAGCAGACACGCCCTGAAACTAAGCGTGTCATTGGTGTGCTCTCCCTTCGTAATCCATGGAGCTCATTCCTTTTTTGCTTTCCCGTTAGAGACTTAAATGCAGTTGCAATCCCATTTCACGTAAGCTACGGCTTGAAAACAAAGATGTGCACTGACTTGCGCACCGCCGCGAAACGAGCTCACAAGCATGCCAGTGCTAACACACACACACACACACACACACACACACACAAAGAGGAAGAGGAGACAATCAACCCAGCAAAGACATCAGCCATTTTCACTGTGGACGAGCACAGTCAGTCACATCGATGTCGTTACATAAATGTACCACATGGAAAAAACAGCTGCAACAATAGGAAGAATAGGACGATGTCATCCCTTCCCATTTTTACTCGGTTAGATGAAGACTCAAACGTTTTTAAGTTATTTTGGGTTCTTTTTTTAATGTCTTTTTCTTCTTCTTCCATTGGAAAGAATGAACACGTTTCACTGAAGTGTGACATCTTTTAGCTCTCGTTCTGCCACAACACTCACACCATCCCTCTGGCGCTCCCGCCGCCTCCACCTCCAGAGCCCAACCACCTCATCAACTGGGCATGGAAAAAAAAAAAGAGAGATAGTGTGCCTTGCCCGCCTGCACCCCCCCCCCCCTCCCCCACTGCTTCGCATAGAAGGATCAACAAGAAGCAAAAATAAACTTCTTTAGCGCAAAAGTAAAAGTTAATGTTGCCGGCGCCTCACCTTTTTCTGAGGTTTCTTCGTCTGCTTCACGGCTTTCGCTGACAACTTAACATCAGCCTTCGGCTTCACCGCCTTGTCTTCGCCACGACGCTTTTTGGCCGGTGGTGCGACTTCTTCCACCTCTTTTTTTGCCACCACCTCGACCTCCTCTTTCTGCTGTTCGTGCGGCACATCGCGCCCCCGTTTCGTCCCTCGAGGTGACTTTTTGTCAGAGTCACTCATAGTGGCAGCAGCCGGAAAAGATTTATCCCCCGCTAACCTTTTCGTTGCGTTTTGTGCAGCGGAGACCGAGACAGCTGCACGTTTCATCATCTTTCGTCGTTTAGCTAATAATACAGGTCTGTAGAGGGCCTGCGTGTCTAGCTCGTAACGATAACAACACGCCGCATTGCTCGTAATGGGGGTTCCGTAAGAAGTTTCCTTCGCGATGCCTTCATCTGGGCAGTGCACCTTGGCGTGGCGTGGCCACTCCATGTCGTAGGGCCCAACATGCCCCGCAATGGGCACTTTTGTGGCCAATGCTTTGGGGATAGAATTCATACTTTTTTTTCTGTCCTTGCCCACAAGCAGACGCTCCAGCGCACGACGCAGTGAACTTGACTCATGACAGAAAAGAAGCGTCAAGCCGCAATCCGGCTCCAACTGGACAAGTTGCTGACAGGCAGCGTGCAGTTGATGGTTATCAATAAAGGGAAGCCGCAGTACTCCCTGGTAGGAGAAGTGAGCCTCGCTAAAGTCCACGTCAACCCTCTCCGGGTAAAAAACTCCAAGAACGGAACTGGGGTCTTTGACCGCGTCGTGTAGCTCTTGTGGCAGAGCCTCTAAACTAAGCCGAGGCAAAACTGCCAATAGCTGCAGTACCGGGTGCCTCGGTGTTCCCAATATCATTTTCACATCAACCTTACCCGTAAACTGGGCCAAGTCCTGCAGAAGGGGGGCGTAGTGAAACGGGTAGTACCAATCCCACGAAGGGCAGCCTGTGGTGTAGTACCGCATCACCCACTGAGTCCCACGCAAGTACTCCGCACAACAGCGCTGAACGTTTTCCTCAAACGTAACCCGGTCTTCAGGATCCCAGCAAAACTTTTTTTTGTAGTACTTATCGCGATGATTATCGTCCACGTAAGAAAATCCCAGCGGTTCCTTGTCGGCGACAAGACGTGCACGTTCTTTTAAAGTAGAGAGCAGGAGCTGATGCGCAGCATTACTTACCTCCTGGGCGTTGCTACCATCCTTCTCAAGGGAATCCAGCTGCTCTTCCAGCTTCTGTTCAAATTCCTTGACACGCTCCTCAACCTTTGCCTTCGCCCGCAACTTTGCCCGCACCACCCCACCATACTCCTGCTTAAGCTTCTCCATGTAGTTTTCCACGAAGCGACGCATAAATTTTGATAAACTATCGTAATTTACCTCACCTCTGTCAGTTAGGTATGAGTGCTCCGTGAAGCTGCGCACGTAGTGGTCCAGCAGAAGTTCAATACCTTTTGTTTTGATTGAGATGAGAGGCACATGAGGAAGGAAGTCATTCCCCACAAAAAAACAGAGAAAAATAAAGTCGTCCAAAACTCTCTCAAAATCCATGTTATTAACTCCGCTAAAGTCCTCTTTTAGGCGCAGGCGATACTTGTAAAGACTAAAGTAGCAGAAGCGGTTGTGATCCGGCTGAAACGTTTCAGTGAGTTGGTTTCGCAGAATAGTCACATGCTCTTCATGCGTAGAGAGGCCAAGACAGATAAGGTCCGCATCCATTCCATGAATGACGTGAGAAGTCAGCGGATTGTAGCCAGGCTGAGCTCTAAGGCCTCGAATGTAATGCATGATTTTGTGCTCCCCCTCACCCGGGACGTGAGCATCGGAAAAGATAACGGCGATGTGGCGCCATGCTGGATCCTCGTTCAATTTTTTCATAATAAACCATTCAATGGCCAGCCCAACGCGCTCCATAAAGGGCGTTGAGGGTGTAATGACGTTGTGATCCCAACGATTCCGTGTTTGCGGAGGGGGAAGACCTTTTTTGAGAACTTGCTCCGCACACTGTAAAGAAAGCACGTCGCTCTCAATGCGCTCCTCTGCGGCGCGAAAGCGGCGACTGCGCTGCTGATTCATCTTACTCTGCGGTGCAACACCGTCAATACATAACACGAGACACTTCCGCGGCCGAACTATTTTGTACAAAAGGTCCAACTGCACAAAGATGCGCCCAAGCATCTCCTCCTCACTCTCGGGCTCCGGCAGCGGTGCCGTGTCATGACAGCACGGATGAATGAGCCCATTCATGTCCAGGTAAAAGTTGTCAAAGCGTCGCGTCGCGTCGCTACTCTCAGGAAGTGGCTGCCCGCTCTGTGCTGCCTTCACCACCGCCTCCGGAACGTTCTCCACGCAGTCGCCATACCAACGCTGCAGCCACAAGTAAAAGCCAGCAATCCCCATCGAGTCACTGCCCTTCCCCTGTTAAGATAACGCCTCCCTTCCTGCTAATGTGCAGCTATCAACTTAACGTGGAAAAATTACGGGTACCAGAAGACCATTAGCATCGGCAACCGCAACAGCACGTGCATGCGTGTTTGGAGTGTCAAGCCAAAGGCCCCCATTACGTCCCACGGAAAAAAAAAACGCATCGCACAATGTAGAAAGAAAACGCACACACACACACACAGACAGACAGACAGGTCAGCGGAATAAGACCCTAAAAAAAAAAGATCACAGCAGCGGTAGTCGCTGCAACTCACCTTGTGAACGTACAACACTAAGAGACACAACAAACAAAAAAAATATAATACATCTTCTCTGTTTGTATGTTCACTTGCCGATAACTCAGGTCTCACCTCCACCAGGGTTCACTCTCGCCATGGTGGCAGGGACAACGTCGTTTTAGTCCCCTTCAGAGGCGTACACCGCCTCACCGAAACTCCGCTGCTAGCGCTACGATGATTGCATGCCTTAAAGGATGTCCCTTGCCGTCCGTTCGCATTCCAATCCATCTTCTTATCCACCATGGCCGCCTCTGTTAGGTGTACCAGTTCAAGCCCCGTCTTGAGCGGGTCTCTAGTGTACGCTTTCACCTGTCGACGGATGCAGTCCTTCCCCCTGGCGACAACGAGAGCATTGGCCTGCTCTTGTGCATGCAAAGCCACGTAGTGCTTTCTCAACAAGGTCTCAAAGTCGTTTCGACGCTGGATCAGTAATTCCTCGCGATTCATGGCAAGACGCTTCTCTACAGCCACCTGCCCCAACTGCAGACGCTCGGAAACAGCCCGCACACGGTCTTGAAATTTCCTTTCAATATATGCCTCAAACTCTTGGAGTTCATGTGCCTCTCGATCAGCAATCGTTTTCTGTGCCCGCTCTGCATCCATGTACATTCGTTGGTGCACATACTTCTTTAGATCATCACGAAGCTCCACCAACGCCTTGGACGGCCGTGGGCGTCGTTCCATGAGCTCCAGGCGGATGAGCTCCTCCTGCGACTGCATCTCCGTGGCGTGTTGACGCTCCAACTCACGTCTCAACCGTCTCGCCTTTTCATCGTAGTCCTTCAATTTAGTTTCCCACATGTCGTGAAAGGTGAGAAGCTCCAGTCGATTATCCTCCATCATCTGCTTCTTCCACCCCACGTTTACTTTGCGCACCTCCATTTCAACTTTTTTCACGTACCGAAGGTTAACCTCACGCATACGATCCAGACACGCCTGCGCCCTGCGAAATAGACCGCGGCGCTCACACTCCAGACGCAATGCGTCAAGTTGCATCAGATATGCCCGGATTTCCTCGTCCTCCTGGCGACGTTTTGCCGCCTTCGCGTCCATCAACGAAGAGGCGCCCATGAAACTTGGAAGCGTCTCATCCTGGTGTGTTGGGGTGATAGGCGAGGCTACCAGCAAAGCACTGGATGATGCCGTCATGCCGCCTGTTGCTTCAATGTGACTGTGCACTAATACCCAAACGTGCGTGTGTCCCCTCCCTCCCCTCTCACCTTCTGGCTGGCTTGCTTAGAAAATGCACGACAGCAGTAGAGGCGGCTCATATCACAACACCCAAAACATATAATCTATAGGCAGCAGGAGCATTCATTTTCAATGCCTGTTGTGGCTACTCTCTCTCGTGTTCTTTACTCATTCACATTTCCGGCTCTCTCTCTCTCCACATTCCGAGCCTCTTTACAAAATACATAAAAAAAGGACATAAGGGTCATCATCCCACGACGGACGCCTTCCTTGTTTTTTTTTTTTTACAACAGATAGACGCCGTCACGAAATCGACCCTCAAAGCTGGTCCCATCGGGATAACTAAGACGCCCGTTCCCATGCGGCCTGCCACTACACAGGTCGCCTTCATACACGCTGCCATCTGCAAAGTGCACACACCCCTGCGCATCCAAGCGTTCCCCTTCGGCCCAGACTCCCACCAACACCTCACCCCGGGCGTCAGTGTACGATCCATGGCCGTGAGGCTTGCCTTCAAACCATTCGCCGGCGTAAATGGATCCGTCAGCGTAGGTCTGTGTACCCTTCCCACAACGTAACCCATTTTTCCATTCCCCCTCGTATGTGTCACCGTCGCGGTATTTGTAGAGAACCTGCCCTTCTTGAGGAACACCGTGGTGCCACACGCAGCGCACAACATCGCCGTTAGGAAGCGTACTCACACCTACACCGTGCCGCTCACCATCGCACCACGTCCCCTCATACATATCCTTCTCCGATCGAGACGTGCCAACACTTTGCAACTTACCAAGCAAAAAAAGTCCTTGATAAATTGTTCCCTTCTTTGAATCAAAGCTGATTCCGGGACCAACACGAGCGTCATCCTTCCAAGTGCCTCGGTACATAGAGTCTCTACGACCCATGTGTAACCCATGTCCACAACGCACATCGTCTTGAAACTCCCCTTGATAGATACCTTCCTCAGTTTCCTGCGTACCAATACCATGTCGCTTCCCCTCCTTCCATTCCCCTTCGTAAACACGGTTCCCATCCAATTGAATAAACTTACCAAAGCCGTGTCGTTCATCATTTTTCCAGCTCCCCTCATAGACATCGCCTATTGGATATGTGCATTGCCCTTGTCCCTCACGGAGGCATGCTTCTTCGTCCCAGTCTCCAACATACACTTCTCCATTAGGAAACGTAAAAGTACCACCTTTGCGGACATCGTCCTCCCAGACGGCAACACACACTACACCATTGATAAAGGTCAATGTCCCACTTCCTGCACGCTTATCCATGGCCCACATTCCCTCAAAGGAGTTTCCAGCAGCATCTACGTAGCGTCCCTTACCATGACGACAGTCATAGCTCCACTCACCGATGTAAGAAGATCCATCGCTGTATGTTGCCCTCACCGTTGAACTTAACGCGTCCTTAGTCCATGTGCCACAAATAACCACCCCGTTTGCGTACGTAAATACACCCTCACCAGATCGCATGTCCTCGCTCCACCCACCATGGTACTGTGTTCCATCCGGGTAAACGGCACTCCCCACTCCACCTTTTTTATCGTTCAGCCACTCGCCTTCGTAGCGATATCCATCGCAGGTACACATCACACCCTCGCCTTCTCGTTTACCGTTCTTCCACATGCCCCAATACGCTCTGTCGGCCCACTGATAGACCCCAAGCCCCTCCTTTTTCCCATGTACCCACTCCCCATCGTACACCTCCAGTGTAGGCGCGGGCAGTTGAAGAATAGACCATCCTACGTCCTTGCAACTAAGATCTAGTTTCGCGCCCTCTAACAGTGGCGCAGCCTCCACCTGCCAGGACGAGAATTCACTCTGCTTCCACAGGCTCCTCCCACTCCACTTGAGCGTTCCACACTCCATCAGTTTCGATGATACACCGTAAATGCACCGTCCACGGCCATGGTATGAGAAACCGGACCACATCCCGTAGTACAAAGCACCATTTGCGTTCGAATACCACTCTCCCTCATATTGCTCCTGCAGGGTCAACTTGAGGCGAATAAAACTATTTCCACTTTTCTCTACATAACGTACAGCAAGGTAAAACACTCCCACATGGTAAGAGGGATCTGCTGGTAATATGGTGACTGTCTTATTTTGCTCAGGAGAGAGGCACTTCCAGACGGCGGTATAGATGTTCGGCCGGGGATCGGTCGGACTGAGTAGCACCACACACCGTGCGGCACTGTTAAACTCCTGAAACTCAATCGTCACCTGACACGGAGTCTCTACGTTGATGCAAAAAAAAAGCGCCGGATCTGTCGCTCCGATTCGAACATCACACAACTCGGTGTCAGGAATAAGGGGGACGGGAATCTTGTCCTCAGTGACGGTTAGCATGTCCCCTTTCGCTGGTTTTATCAATGTTGATGCTCTTGTGTGTGTCTGTGTATGTGTGTGAGGTAGGGGATGACTTTTCTTCACTTCCCTTCCCTCCCTTATCAAGTCATGTGTGTGTGTGTGTGAATAGTTTAATAGGGAGAGAGACAACCCTGCAAAGAGGTCACAACAGCACCCACCCACCGACGCACAAACAAACAAACAAACAAACAAAACGCCTTTTTGTGAGGGAGAGGAAGCAGGTCACATCAGAAGCCACCTCAAAAAAGCATCACTGAAAAACTCTACTCATTGCCGCCGATGTCTCCTGCGTGGGCCCGCACATATGCATACACCAAGGCATCGGGGCCCAATAAATTGAACCAAAAGAGGTGTAGTGTAAAGCGGGTAATAAAGGCAGGCAAGCAAAGAACATCACAAACACACAAAATCCATAGTAAAAAATAAATAGATAAATCGGCAAAGGATTACCAACAAAAACACCAAAAAGAAACAAACAAACAGAAATAATATATCTCTTGAAGCATCAAATGCGTATCATACAGCCCTGTTGAAAGATCCCAACTACGTATGAGAGGAGGATGAGTTCGTACACTTCGTCGTCCATGCTGAACTACCTCAACACTGCAAAATAGTAATATATTACATAATTTGGCAGATGGGGCATTGCCGGTGGCTTGGGTCCACCTTGAGCGCCCGTTTTTCCGACACTTCTTCTGACGCAAACAATGTCACTGGTGCGTTACCGCCGGCGAGTACATTGACGGGCCCATCCGCAAGAATCCACGGCGGTAGGCGAACAATCACCGCACTATCAACTGACTGTTGCATGTATTTTTTCTGTACCGTCTCTTCCTCGTCAGCACCACTTGAAAACACGCTTTGTGTGACTCCAACACTCTTCGGAGTGTACGACGCAGTTGCATCCGTGTCACACGGCAACAGAAGTGACAAGGAGTTGTGAGGAACTTCCCGAAGACTAACCGCCGTCACCGGTGTGAAGCAGCGGTGCAGAGAAGCATCACTAGCAACCTTTTCCAGTTGAGTGGCCACGTTCACCTCCTCTAAGACAAGTCGGCGTGGCTCTACGTTTGGGCATGCCAACTGAACTCCGGACCAAAATGACGATGTTCGAAAGTAACACGCCATACGAATCATAACGCGCATTGCTCGAAACACCTCGCAGCACTGTGTACATGATATTTCCAACACGGGTAGTTGTGAGCGACCCCCTACAGTGCCTGCACTACCGCCGTTTTCGCCCTTATTACTCCCCTTTGGAAGCTTCACACCCAATGTTAGCAAACACTCTTTCGCTATGCGCTCTGCATCCTGCATTGTCACGGCATGATGCTCTGTATCATCTGTTTTGGTGCCCACAAGAAGAGGCAGAATGCGCCGCTTCACGCCATGCTGCTGTCGGACGTAACAACTCTCTCTTGCACACTCGAGAAGGTACAAGAGCGAGTCCATGTCGGTAGTGGAGTAAACAAAAATTAGGCCATGAGCTTCCGTAATGTATGGCGCACGGTGATTACTAAACTCACTACTACCAGAGGAATCACATAAATGTATTTGATACATCTTCCCATCTATGACCTCGCATTGCACAAACGTCTCTAATGTGGTCGGGACGTACTCTTGGCGGAACGTCCCTGTTAAAAACTGGTGCCGCAATATAGTCTTTCCCACGCTGTTGGCACCCATTAAAACTAAATTGCACAGTGTGACCTCCGTCTCATGCTTGCTGGAGTCGCCAAAACAGGGGAGTTTATCCATTGCAAATGGCCCCGTGTCCCCACCTACTTTGGACCCACCAGCAATCGTCCCCTCCTCCCCACTCCCACCCCCCAGCCTCCCCGTTCAGCCTATTTTTCCTTTTTTTAAAAAAAAAAATGTTTTGCCTTGCTTTCGTGTTCTCCAAGAGAGGCGTAGCCAGACAGCTACAACTACTACCAGTTAAGAATGCAGAATAAAGCGGAGACCATGAGGGCGGGGTAGGAGAAGAAAACAACACCCCAAAAGGCCAGCGAAAAAAGGCGAAAGGTTGGTGATAAAAACTACAGGGAGAAAGATAGGCGGAGAGGCAAAAAAAAAAAGAAGGGAAAAACATGTGTTCAGAAAGGCCACACCAGAACCACTCTCCATTAAACAACTGGATCACAGGCTTAAAACAACAAAAAAACAAAAACAACAACTGCAAAAAAAAAAGCTGACGTTGAGCAAGTACTCTTGTTCCATGAAGAGAAAGAACAGTAAGCCGTCCTCGTCTAATGTATTTCAGTTCAAAAATAAATCACCTCAACATCTCACGATAGTGTTGGCTCGGTGTCGTCTCTAGTATACAGGTGATTGTAGTCGCGGTTACTTTGGCGGCAACTTTCCCTTATGTACTTGAACGTCCGTTTTAGTCGTTCTAACTCCTTCACCACCTCGTCCTTTTTATAGGATGAATTTGAGTGCTTCAACGCATCGTCCGGCAGCATCGCATGCGAAGTTTCCTCCTCTTCCGCTTGCTGCTGCTCCCGTTCTTGCAGGTAAGCCAGTGTTGGACACGGCATCTTCTCGTCCTGACGTAGACAAACCGCGATATCTTTTACTCGTGCCCAGAACCGTGAAAATGAGCGCTCTACAATTACCTCGTGCAGCGTCTTTGTGAAACCGTGTCGTAAAATCCCATAGTGCCAGGCATCGCGTAGAGGGTTAATCACAAACTGATTTAGGCGACTTCTCTCACGACTACGTGCGTAGAGTCGCGCACGATGCCTAACAGCCACATATGCCCTTATCATCTGATTGTAGTATAAAATCTGCTCCCTGATATCTGTATTGGGCCACATGTGAGACGTCGATCGCTCAAGCCGCTCCAATGTCTCACTCAACACACGAAGATACAAGCGCCTTGCCTCGTCCGCATTGAGAGACATATAAGGCACCTCATAGATAAATTGCAACTCAGACACAGAGTCCACGTAGTGGCGCACGAAGACTTCTTCAAGACTGTTTTGTCGCATAAAAAGCGGTGCGGCTATTACTCCCCAGACAGCAGCAAATAAGCACGTAATAAATACAAAGGATGTGGCGCGTGAGCAACGCGCTAAAGAGTAATGAAGCTCTTCTAACGTCATACCTCGTGAATTTTGCACCCCCATAGTAGCTGAACGTATGACAGCCGCTGGTACTTCAATTGGCAGCCCATTCCGAGGCGGTTGACGCGTCAAGGCACCACCACCGCCACCAGAAACAACACCAGGGGCAGCAGCATGTCGCTTTCGTCGTCGTTTTTCCTCCTTCAATATAGGTGAGAGTTCTAGTGGTCCAAGAGTTGACTTTGAATGAGACTGACGAGAGCCCGTGGCCTGACTAGACCGCCTACTTTCCCTTGAGGAAAGCACTTCGCCCAGGGAACCCGTGCTATTGAGGTATTCTACAGCACTGCGTGTGCTTAAGAAACTCTGCTCACTCCCATTGCTCTTGTGGTTATGGGAATAACGCCTTTGCTTCTGTTGTGGCTGTTGTTGAAGCTGCTTATTATTCCCTCGGCTCCCACGTAATGAGTGTGACGAAGAAACGCTGCTACGCGAGACGGATGCATGAAGGGGTGTAGAAAGAGGCAGAATGACACTTCCGCCGCGTGAAGTGCTGACTCCACCTACACTCCCGCGAAGCGGTGGCAACGCAAAGAAAACGGATTCTCGTAAATGAGAAAAACCACGCGTTATCGACTGCGTCCTAGATGGCGATGCAACCTCCTCCTCGTGGTCACTCGACTCAACTGGAATAGCCTTTGGAACCTCTGCCTTCACAGGAGGTAACGATGCTGGGGGCTCCGTCTCCAAGGCAACTGGTGCCTCCACGCGCGACGACGTATTCTCGCCCGCGTCTCGCAGGTACGCAAACCCGTATGATGGTCGCTGCTCTGCCGTCAGTAGCTCCTTGTTGCCACTAGTTTCCCGAAGTCGCGGCTGCTCCTCCACCCCATCTTCGGATGCCTTTTCTTCGGTCCGTCGCCGCGGAGCACTAAGACGTTGATCCGCCTTGGCCCTGCTGCTGCGTGCCCGCTTCATTTCCCTGCAGCTACACGAGTGTGAAGTACGGAGGCGGATTAAATACAAAAACAAAGAAATATATAAAGGCCTCTTCCTCCTCGTCGTTACAGACACACACACACACGAGCGCAAAGAAGCAAACAAATCAATAAACGTAGGCTCTATCAAGTTCTCTTCTTCTGCTTTGATCTCGCTTCTCTCTCACACACAGTAAAAGAGAAGGAGAGAGAGAGAGAGAGACGCCTATCCTTCGACTTTATTCCTTTTCACTTCGTTGCTGCGTGTAGGTGACCGGTCCGAGAATAATTGAGAACAGGACGCCACGATTATCCGTCCTCCGTGCTTCTGCACCCTTTTGTTGTTGTCTAGGCAGAAGGCAGAAGACAGCAAACAAAAAAAAAACAACAACAACAACAACAACAACAACAAAAATAATAATAATAATAATAATATGAGAAGGTAAAGGTTGTGGCTTCAGAAATAAGACCAAAACAAAGCCATTCCAAACACACATCCACTCATTCATGCACACGCATACAACTCCACGCATATACAAACGCACAGAAGTAGAAAGAGAGAGAAAGAGACACGTACCACAGGCACCCACAAGTTGTCGTGTGCCGGCATGATGAGGCCAAATCTCAACACCTAAAACCGCATAAAACTGATTGTTTTATTCAACTGTTCCTTTTATGTTTTGTTTTGATTTTGTGTTTTACGCCTTCCTCTTTTTTTTTTATTCGTATGTTATGTTACTTTTTTCCGCTTCATTCGGTGGGCGAGAAATATTAATAGAACATCACGACGAATAAGAACGCACCTCTCTTCGCCTTTTGTTCCACCCTTCTTGCCGCCTTCCCCGTGGTTCCTCTGCGTGCGAGGATGGACCGCGCCTCACCACTCTCCACTAATGTTTGACTTGCGCTCCTTTAAGGTCTGCTCATTTACTAACCGACGCTGCTTGTCTTTGGACTCCTTCATGTGACGAAACTCGCGACGTGACTTTTTGTTCATGTGCGCCGCGGACTGAGAGAGGTCCAACTTCAGCGGCGGAGGCTCACTCAACGCAAACCCCTTTGCCACGGCAGCCAAGTCTAAGCTGTGAATGTCAAAGACATTCTTGAGTTGCGAGCTGCTGTAGCTAAGAAGATATCCCTCATAGGCCCGACGGGCGGATGTGCGGAGGTAGTAGTTGGTGTTCACCAGCTGCTCCAGTTGCTCACTCACCCCCTGCTTCACCTTACTGAGGTCAAAGGTAAACTCGCTCACCGTGACATGAGCGTCGTCGTAGAGGTATTTTAGGAAAAGCTTCTCCTGAGGAAGAAGAAACATAAGAGCATTTCCGCAACGCCCGGCGCGTGCTGTGCGTCCCACCCGATGCACGTACTTCACGGGATCATCAGGAGGATCGAACTGCACGATCCAATCCACGTGAGGAATGTCCAACCCACGAGCAGCCACATCGGTTGTAAAGAGCACGCCACTAGGCGCATTACAGAATTGCATGTATGTTGCAGAACGTTGATGTTGTTTTTGCTTTCCGTGAAAAGCCACACATGGGACATCGATGTAATTAAACAATTCACAGTGAAAGCTAACGGCGTTTCGGCTACTAAAGAAAACAATCATCTTCTTCTTTAGATTACGCTTAACAAAATGATACAAGACCAGCAGTCGCTGCTCGCTTGGGCACATGACGTATCCCTGCTCCAGTGTGTCGACAGTTGCCTTTTCCTCTCGACGCTTCATTGAAATTAGGAGTGGAGGCCTGTAAAAGGATATACGGGCAAGCTGCTCCACCCGCGTTGTCTGCGTAGCGGAAAACAAAAAAGTCTGACGCTGCTTAGGTAGCAAGGAGACAATTTCACGCATATCCTCCTCAAAGCCATTATCCAAGACACGATCAGCCTCATCTACAGCTAAAACGAGAAGATTTTTTGTGAGCCAGTCGGTGGTAAGCTTTAAATGGTCTAGCAGGCGTCCGGGAGAGGCAATAACTATCATCATACCACTCACAAGTTTAAAAGCCTCTTGATTGCGGCTTTGGCCTCCAATACAGCAGAGAAACGTGATCGATCCGTTAAAGTGCTTTAGTAGCTTCAGCAGCACACCCTCAATCTGCAGGCAAAGTTCACGTGTGGGGCCAATGATAACTGCAGCCGTGCCATTCTTCGGTCGAAATCCAGCTCTCGAAATGATCTCCACTATTGGAACAAGGAAAGCAAGCGTCTTTCCTGACCCTGTTTTTGCCTCGGCGAGCAGATCCCGACCGTTGAGAGCGGCGGGGATACACCGGCCCTGAATACCGGTTAACTCCCCAAACTTAAAGTCGTTCTCGAGGGCGGCGACGATGTGAGGATTTAACTTCAGCACCTTGTAGTCGGATACACAGGAAACCCTATCCCGCTGCCTCGGAGTATTCTTCGCCTCATCCGCTCTTGTGGAACTTTCCTGCTTTGCTGTTTCATCTTCATCTTCATCTTCATCTTCCTCAGCCTCAACTTCCATATATTCCTCTTGGAGCGGGGCCTCCTCCCTGCGGGGCCTTTTCGCGCGCCGCTCCACGTCTTCCTCACGCACTGCCGTTGTGCCAGCGGCGGCAGGATCTTCAAGGGTTGGCCCCGTTGCCACATCTTCGACGTCTGCCTCCAACGTCTGCTGAGCATCGCCCGCCGCGTTCACAGCGGTGTCTCCTTTTCTCTTCGCACGGTGGTGCCGCACGCGCTTTTTTCTGGCGGCCTGCGGCGCTCCCGCACCGCTCCCCTCCAACATGATTCAGCCCTAGTCGTGACTTCTCTGCGCCTCCTCTTCCTGTGCGTGTGCGTTTGTGGCCGAAGGTGAAAAACAAAAACAAAAAAGGAGGAAAAAAAACGACCAGCGAAATAAAAGAAAAGCCACAGAGGCCACCAAACCAGTGAGGCGCGAGGGACACCGACAGCCAGGGCTTACGAGTCAGTAGCACAAAAAAAGAAAAAAACGCAAGGGCATCAACATGACGCTGCCGCAAGAGGAAACACCAACACATGACCGCAACAACAACAACAAAAACTCATATTACATGTCGTCAGCGTCGTCTTCGTTGACAACGCGCTTTTTGTTGAAAGCAAAGTTTTTTCCACCAAAACTTCAAGCGGCAGCACACCATCACCGAGACCAGGAACAATTTCACGGATCCTTCCAACACCATCACCAACACCACAAAACAGCACCTTAACAGAAAACGGAGACGCGAAAATGCCTAGATCATGCGGATCTGGTACGCTTGACCTCACTCTTCTAAGCAGTGGTCTTAATCGTTAGATATGAGACCCATAAACTGTTTTATGTCCATCACGCTCCCATAACACTCTGGCACTGACGCACCAACTTCCTTGCTCTCCTCATCCTCTGGAGCCATATTCCAATAGAAAGGAAGTTGCATGACCGTAGCAGCCAAAGGGCTCTGAATAATGGGCCACGGCGGTAAAGGAACCCCCGATGTCACCATATGTGAACGATCTGATGAAAACCTCGCCAAGTATGTACGTCCAGGGATGACGCGAAACCACTGTCTATACGCTTCCCCTATCTGCATGTCCGGTCGAAAGGACTCCATGACATAGTCTTCTGCTGGAGAAGGATAAGCTAGGGTGGTGTCATAGTCCCACATCCACCATTTGCCCGCTGTGTCCAGCATGAGGGCAATAACATGATAGTCCCACAGAACCGGATCCTGCCCACCTTTTCCGCCAAGACGCTGCATCCACACAGGTACTGCTTTGCGCTTGTTGCTCACAAAGACGGCAAAAATATTGTCATCAGGAAGTGCATACTCACTATACAAGACCTCAATAAGCCTATATGTGTTTTCCTCACAGTAATGGGAGGCGTATGGTACCGAGTCGCGCGTGAGACGATTCCATGAATTCTTCAAGTGGGAGTTGTTGTTCTTGCAGTCACCATCCATATCGTTTTGAACGGTCTTCAACCGAAAAAAAAAAAAAAACATGCGTCATCACCCGCCACACATAAAAAAAAAAAACAGCAGTAAGAAGAAAGTGATAGTCATAACACCCATGTGAACGAAAGCAATGCGGATGCCCCAGAAATCCTGAGAAACCTGTGAGATGCTCAATAATATAAAACGTACGGAGGAAACAGTTTAAACGCAAGAAGCCATCTTCTCCGGACGCAATGGCGATAGCACCACTAGTGTCCTCACCAGCACATACAAAAAGACAGATAGATATATAGGATAAAACAAGGGCCGAAGCAAACACTGGTGGTTGTATACTTTACACGTCAGTGAAAGATACTCAACGCGCCACACGACACCAAATATCACCTGCTCCACTATTATTATTATCATTTTTATTGTTTGTCTGTTTGTCTGTTTACACGCATATATATATATATATCACCCGTTACTAGAGGCAGACATTCTCCTTCTTTGGCCTTCGCTCCTTCTCGTTTACGACTTTGACTTCTTTTGTGCTTCACGACGTTTGGCCCAGAGAGACTTGTGTTGCTGTTTTTTGGTCATCTTAAAGACCGCCTCATTTTCACGCCGCAAACGCAACGTTGCAAAGTCCGCTGTGCCGTGTTTTGTGTCGTCGTGACCAATGTCACTGTCCCCGCGCTCTCGTTTTCCCTTCTTCGCCGTGACCAATTGGCGCGCCTCCTTTTCAAACTTGGTCTCCTGCTCATTCTCTCGGATCTCCTTAATCGTCTCTTGTTCAGCATCCTCCACACGCTGTAGCACTGCCGCCACATCGCCCTCCTGAATGGGCCACTCTTCACACTTTACCCCCGTTGAAGCCTCCACTTTTTGTAGCAGTAAAATGTCATATTGACTAATAATGTTCACGGCTTTGCCTTGGGCGCCTGCACGCGCAGTACGCCCCACACGATGAATGTAATCTTCTACACGATCCGGTAGTGCGTAGTTTACAACCACATCCGTGTGGGGAATGTCCAATCCACGCTGAGCCACATCTGTGGCCACGAGAATCCGTATTTTTCCCTCTTTAAACTTTGTCAAGGCAATGTTGCGGTTTGTTTGATCCATTCGCCCCATAAGTGGTAGTGCCTGGTGCCCCAAAATCCGAAGTGTAAGCGTGATACGGTGCACAAGCGCGGCACTACGACAGAAAACAAGAATGTGATTGCCCGTTTCACGTGTTAGGTACAAGTGAAGATACGGCAACATTTGCGCAAAGGGACAAAACACATAGTATTGTTTCAAAGTGTCTACAGTTGTGTTTTTTCTATGCACCTCCAGCAAAACAGGGTCGTTTAAGGAGGCCTTCTGCAGGCGATCAATTTTAGTGTTGAGAGTGGCAGAAAAAAGCAGGGTCTGGCGATTGTGTGGCAAATGCTCCAGAATCGCATCAATCTCCTTTTCATAGTCCATGTCAAGCATCTTGTCGGCCTCATCCAGAACAAGTGCGTGAAGCTTAACAAGTTGAAAACCCTTTGTGTTGTGCAGGTGATCCTTAATACGGCCTGGTGTTCCGACCACAACGTGCGGTCGCTTGCTCAAGTCGCAGGCCTGATCCACCATGTCGGCTCCGCCAACTAGCGTCGCGACTCGCAGCCCCACGCTGTGTCCCAGCATCACAAACTGCGCCGTCACCTGCTGCGCCAACTCACGGGTCGGGACCATCACAAGAACGGAGAGATACGGCACTTTGGACTGAGTGAGCAACCAGTTTACAAGAGGAAGAACATATGCTCCTGTCTTTCCACTACCTGTCTGTGCCACGCCAATGATATCTCGCCCTTCCTTTACAACGGGAATTGTTGCGGCCTGGATGCGTGTCGGGTTTTTCCACCCCGCCTCCGCACAGGCACTGATGAGTTCCTCGCACAGCCCCAGTGACTTGAAGGAGGTACCTTTGCTCTCCTCGTTGTCCAGTAACTCCGAACCAATGCTTTGCGCCGGCGGAGCGCACGGCACCGTTGCCTGCGGCCTTTGCTTGATGGCTTTTGCTTTGACCATTGCCCCGCAAGCCCCTGTCCCCCCTTTTTTGGTTGTTGTTGTTTTCTTCTTATTTTCCCTTACGCCTGGCGTGCGGAATCACGTCCAGCAACACCAACAACAAAAAAGCAACAACAACAAAAAAAACATCAAAAACACGCAAACCATATAAATGGGAAGTGAAATGTGAGAGGGACGAGAACACGGAGGCAAATCCTTGAAGAGGTGCAATCCTACCCACACACAAACACAGCCAGCAAGTGTCCAGTAAAGAAAGATGGTACTGCACGCCTGTCCACGTACATTCTGCTCTTGTCCCATCCGCTTCACGTCAGTGAAGTGAGTAGTTGCGCTTGATGTGCGTTGGGAGCTTGACGTCAAGCCTCGGATTCACAATCGGAAGGGATCCCAGGTCCTTTGTAGTTTTCCCTAATCGTTTGAGCACGTCTTCCAGAGTCCGCCGTCCGCTGACTGGTGTTGAGGGGATCCGGCGGGACTGCGCAGCCTCTAACCGTTGTCGCATCTCATCCCCGCGAAGCCCCATCTTTGGCTCATTCAGGTGTTCCTTACTGCCGGCAAAAAAGTCCTTCCAGTACACATCGTCGTAGTAGCCTTTCTTCAGATGGTCGGGGAGTCGGTTGTCCACCACACGGTCCGGCATAAGTAAACCGTCCTTGCCTGGTGGATGCATCGCCATCATGCCCTTGCGACGACGTATCTCTTCCAAGTAGGGGTAAATGTTGTAGATGAGAGAGTGCGGCACCTTGCCACGGCTCGCCGCAATCTCACTGACGCTACGAAGTGCCTTGACGGCCTCAAAAACGCCTTCAACTGTGTGCGTTGGAGACTTGGGGTTGTTTGTCGCCTTTAAATTGATCCGACACCCCGCGTGCTGAAACCCAAACGCACAAAGAATATCAGCAACACGAAAGTTGGCCACAATACGCTTGGCAGGGTAGAGAAGCACACGCACACCATCAGCGTTGACACGCACCGGATACATGGGGCCCTCCTGTTCCAAATCCACCGCAATAATATTAGAGAAGGCCTCCCGTATAGCTTCCTTCTTCGCCTCCTGCGTACTCGGCGCCACAGCGCGTCCCCATCCCGCTATTCCTTTGCCACTTCCCACGTACAATACGCAGTAGATCCACTGTCGGTGATCCTTGGGGCTAAACTTCACAACGCGCATGTCATATGCAACAATGTTTAACTGAAAATTACAAAGAAATCGCCCGCGATGTTCTTGCGGAATCAACTCGGGCGTCAACCACGTGTTTGAGCGCCACTGATTATACTCCGTGTTGAGTTTGTGTTTCCATTGAAAGCCCTCAGGGTAAAGATCCGGCACAATCCGGTACTCATTGTACAAGTCAATGGCGTTGTCCATGCCCTTCAGGCCTTTGGCATCCGCGTTATGTGCCACCGCCTCCGCTGAGTCACGGGTGTCACGAAAGTAGAGGGATGTTCCCGTCTCCAAATCCACAAATGGATTTCGCATCTTTTCGAAGCGGCGGCGCGTAAAGCTTCCGGGGCGCATCCACGCGTAATAAATGCGTGGCACCCCGCCCCGCATGGTGCCCTTGGCATACCACGAGTTCAAGTTCTTCAACGAACCTGCTGTGAAATGAAACATGTTGTGTCACCCACACCGTCAGCAGCAAAGAAAGAAGAACACAATGCGTGTGTATGAGTATATATATGTACTGTATTGTGGAGGGAGAAAGAAGGAAAAAAAGGGAAACCCAAAAAATAAGAACTAACAACAAAAACAACAAACAGAAACATCCGTTCGTGAGGAGAAGTACAACGCAAAAAAAAAAAATGCAATAAAAGTATATCTCCGCCCCAATGATAGAAGAACTTGTGCGAGCCATCACGCTTCACTCGCCCGCGACTTCCAAGAAGGTATAAAGAGAGGGCAAGACACTGACGCGAATGAATCCTAGAAACATAAGATAAAAATGATGACAAAGAAGCAACAGCAAAACAAAAACAAAAATGGGAATATATATATATATATATATATATGAGTATTTAAAGGCAAGCAATATCTTACTCCCCCTCCTATTGCTAGGTTTCCTTCACGCGGATGGCTGTGTACTCATTTCTGCAGCGGTTCGAAAGAGATTAATCGGCGTGCTGCCGTCCATGACAAGATAACCTTCTAATCCCAAGCTCTCCAACAACTTCGCCTGAAGTTCAGGTCCCGCCTTGGCTATTTCCATTACAGTTTCAGGGCCAATGGCCTCCATTACTGCAGCAAACTTTTGGTTCTCAATATCAGCAAGCGCGTTTTCAATTTCATGAGCCAAAGCCACTCGCTGACTTTCGTAGTCATGCTGTAGTGCACGTTTCTGATTTTCCACTTCAGCCAAGACGCTATTTGTAACATCATCTTTCGCTGCGTGAATACGTGCGGCCTTCATTGCTGATTCGTGTTCCACACTTGCCGCCTTTGCAGCGGCGTCAGTAACGGAATGTAAGCGACCTGAACTTTGCACCGCAAAGCTGTGGGCCTCGGCCTCTAGCAACATTCGCCGCTGTATTTCATTTTCCACCCGATCTTGTATTTTTTGCCGCTCAAGCAACCCACGGGAGTGCTGCTCGCGAGCCAATGCAATTTGCTGTGCTTTCGACTCTTGGGCCTGAGTGGTAATTTCAATGGCTATCTTGACGGACTTCTGCAGACCTTCACGAGTCCGTGCGTCAAGAACCTCCATCCTCTGTGTGTCCACGGAGGTCACAACAAAGTTGTTCGCCGCAAAGCGAAGCTCCGTCCGTGTAACTCGAGTGACGGGATCCACCCCAAAGACGGCTTCCTGCAATATCTTTCCACTGTTTTTATGAAATTGCTGAAATGGCAATGATGCCACCGCGGCACGAATGCGGCCGGCGATGAAGGAGCAGGTATCCGCCACAAAGTCACTTACACTAAAGCATTTTCCTGCTGCCAATTCATCTCCAGGGGCGACATCAAAATACCAGGCATAACACAGCTGTAAAGCAAGTTGGGCATGATCCCGTGTCTCCACATTGACAATATCCCTCATATTTGAGGGCCCAAGAAACAAATGAAGTGCCTTGATATGGTTGATCTCTTTCGCGGGGCAGTCGCTTGGATTATTCGGATCAAACTGTGAACCTGAGAGTGTGACAAGCGTGAACTCCTCATCAGGCTCCAGTAAAACACGTTCTGGTCCAAAGATAGTTCGAGTCGTTAAGGCCTTGTAATTGTAAACTTGTGTCACACTTCTGTATGGAACTCTATACATCACAGCCCAGTGTGTTTTCCCCCGAAGGCCTTGATCAGATGAGGATTTAGAAAGGTTACTCTCTTCACTCGGCTCAGGAGGTAAGCAATGCTGCCCTGCAAGACACCTCTCTACATCGGGTGATAGATTCTTCTCCCATAGTTCCTCTAAGGCATCCAGCATGTATGCCACAGGACCATTCACCGACCTCACCTCACCCGTGGCGATGTTGCGCACGTAGATTCCATTTCCATCTGTAAGGATGATGCGTTCTCGCACAGCTTTATTGTCCTTATCCTTACATACTTCAGTAAAGGCGTTTGGAACATATTCTCGTGGGCCATGCAGAAGCCAAACATCTCCAACTCGTCGCTGTACTGATGGCTGGACGTCGGTATCTTCAAAGTCCTCCAATGCCTTTAATAAAATAGCCTGCCCTTCGTTAAGGATATAACTGTCATGAATGACATTTCCATCCAAAAACTCATCTAGCTGCAAATAAAATGAAGCATCTGTGACAAATCGGCGACATGACGTCTTCTTATTTACCACAACTGCGTACTGTTTTTTGCTCACATGTAACTTCTTTACAGATAGTACAATTTTTTCATAGGGGTGCAACAGGAACAAGGGGACATCGTCGTGTGTGATAAAGTACGTCTGCCCCGCGAGACGCTCCACTCCTCTCCCATATTCCCTTTCATCTACAAAGCGCCGCAACACCTTCACATGCAACCCTTCATCAGGATGCAGCACGATAGGAGAAACATGTCCAACAAACTCTTCCGAGACAGTGCAAATGTAGGAGGTAGGCTCCGTACGGAGATATTCCTCGCCCTTTCGCCGCGACTGGCCATCCTTGTCCGTAAACGCCTCCACCGCACGAACTCGGATTGCGTGGCCTTGCTTGATGTGCACAGCACGACGAACTTCTCCCGCTTCCTCCTCCACACGTGGACAATACGTGCCGGGAACTGCATAGATAAAACGTTCCCCCTCCACGCGCTTCACGCCGTCGCTGGAAGTGTAGTTGCACAATGCCTTCACCTCAAGGCCCTCATCTTGGCTGAGAACTGTCATAGGAGCCACAAGCACAAGTCGCTCTTCGGGGTAGAGGGGAAAGGCTGTAGAGCCAATAACAATCTCCCGCTCACCTGCGCGCACCTTCGTCTGGCCCCATCTGTCACGCACAGGCGTCACCCCATCGCTCGCTCGAACGTGAGGATTCTCAATGACACCATAACTTCCATGCGGCACAACGTGAAACGGTGTCACGGGCTTGGAAATTATTTCATTCGATGCAAGGGCTCGTGTCAGAGGACCAACAAAAAGTTCTGTTGTGTTAGTGTTTTCATTCACAACATGAGCGTACTCGTACGGCCTAAGCCGTAGCAGCACATCGCCCGTCGGCACGGATGGCATTGGATTCCAAGACCGTTATCAATACTGAAATCAAAAAAAAAAAAAAAAAAAAAAAAAGAATAGTGTCAAATTCAAAGTGACAAAGAGCTCCTTGAAAGCCGTTCGTTCACTCACTTCCTTTTCGTGCCACGAACGTGATTTTACGCATACTAATGCGGTGTGTACTAAATTAATAATGTATTCTTGGCTCGCGCAGTTAAAGATGAACGCAACGACAAGCTGCAAGAGAGAGAGGCGGACAGGCAGAAAGCAAATGCGCATTCCAACGTCGTTTTTTTTTTATTTGGTGTTGTCCCTTTCAACTCGACAAATACGACTTCGTGTCGAAGTTCCTCTTCGTTAGCCATACTTTCTGTCTTTGGCATCAAGAGAGAGAGAAAAAAAAAAGGAAGTCCTTGAAAGTGTCCTCGACTTTTTTATCTGTTTGTGTTTCCTGCCAACCTTTCGACCCTCCCACGCCTTCTCTATTCCTCTCCCTCCTTTTAATCGCATACGTTAAACGAACTTAACAGTAAACGTGCCCCACGCAAGCCCACACGCACTTACTCTTTCGGCACACACCTCTCGCCTCTGTCTCTCTATCCCTCTCTTCTCTTTTTTTTTCCTCTCTCTCTCTCTCTCTCTCTCTCCT